AAGGGGGAGGAAGGGGGAGGAAGAGGGGGGAGGAAGAGGGTGGTGGGGAAAGGTAAAGTTATAAGGTGAGAAGTTTGGGAGGTGAGAGATGTGAGTATTACTCTATACTGAGTGCACGCCTCGCTTAAAATAGTATTATTCTAAAAGCTTCGTAAGATTACAACGGAAATGTTGATACGAATAGCTTTAAAAACAATTATTACTTTTGCCTTAAATGAAGTTAGATATACCAAGAGAACTACAGTAAGATACTGAATCATTTTCTATAACGTGTACAGAATAACAACCAGATTTCTCCCCAACGTTCAGCATGCGTAGCATATTCACCGTAGCAATGAAGTGTATGGAAAATGTGACACTCATCACCTATCTTATTTCATTTCATTCCATTCCATCTCTAACTTCAACATTTAGCCTCCTTCCTTCTTGCTTCCTTCCCTTTCTACATCGTCCACGCCAAGGACACCGAAAAAAAAAGAGGAATCACAACTCCATGCTCCCACGCCCAGAAAATGCCTAACGTTTATCCTCCCTACTCCACCCCTCCAAGCGAAACCCCCTTTCCTGGAGTTGGCCGTCTTGCATTTTTCTTTACCACTTATTATCCGTGCTAAGAATTTCTTGTCTTTTTATTCCGCCAAAAAGGGAGTGCTCAGCTAACATCTGGTAATCGGACAGCGATATCGCCGGATTGCGTGATGTAGCGAACCCATGGAAGAGATGGGTATTGCAGCTGTATTACGTCTTAGTACATAATTCGAAATAAATCAGGCATGAAAGCATCATATGATTTCCAAGCAAGAAAAGGGAAGGGTAAAACATACCTTAGGCTCAATAATTTTCAGGTACCTCACTTGAATCCCACTAGTCGTAAAGTAAGGAATCTCGAACTTCACACTTATGGGTCTCTTCGCCCCTTTCCCCCCTACGCCACCCATACTACCACCAAATCCACCCGTCATACCACCTCCGTGTTCATCGTCACCTTTCACACTCGGTAATCCCAATTCTGCTCTCATCAAAAACTCTTTGTTTCCACCGAATTGTTTGATTTTCCAGACAATTGCACTCTGTTCTGGTGCATAATGTACACTTCCGATGTTGGTTCGGAATCTTGGTGAATCGGCATCTTCTGGAACTGGAACGATAATTTCGACGTTGTTGGCTGTGCTTCGTCTCTTGAATTGGGCCTTGGCTTTGAGCATATACTCGATCCTACTACCTGAATGCGATTCCACGATACACTCCACCCAAATTAATGGTTTGACTTGTGTGTTCAGACGATATGACATCAACTCAAATTCTCCGTCTGGTGGAATGAACGAAATTGTTCGATCGTTTTCAAATCGTGATAGACGTACACACTGATGAAATTTGACATCTTCCATCTCAATGGCCTTCCCTCGAGTCGCTCTTCCAGTTGTCTCGAACATAACTTTATCGTTCAGACCTAAACGTAACTCGGGCATTCCAGACAGGTAACATTTCATTTTGACAGCACCCAGGATCTCAGATCGGAGAACATTTCCATTGGACGAAACCAGAAGATTGAGTGATTCCACAACATCCAGAAATACCTCATTTTTGCGATACCGAATACCTTCTGATCGCCACGACACTGCATTTGTAACAGCGATCGGAGGTCTTGCTTGAGGTCTGGAAGTAATATCTAGCTTATGCGATTCTTGTGTAATGTATTCCTGTAGAATTTTGGACTCGGTGGTTTGAGGGTATCCGAAGTCCATCATTTCGTCTAACAGTTCGTAGATGATGACAAAGTTGTCGCGTATGGATTCTTCTTCGAGTTCTTTGAAGTATTCGGTAAAGACTTCGACGAGTTTGTGGAGGAATAGGAGGATTTCCGCGGCATTGGTGTTTCGTTTGGTCAAGGCGAGGAGGTAGAGATTGTTGTGTCTGATATAGAGGTACTGGCAAACATATCAGCACATACCACTTCCCTCCAACCTATGTTGCTCATAGCATACATTGATTCCTTCGTCGGAGAAACATGGTGGCACCGCGGAGCTTTCTTCTTCTGCCTCACTTAATAGTATAGGGAATTTTTCGACGGCGGACATGGGAATATCTCCTCTATAGTTTCGAGCCAAAAGGGTCTGCAAGAATTGGTCAATGAAGTGGTTTGGTAGTATCAACATCTGCACGACCATACCTTGCCCTTTAGGTCGAGGAAGAAGACGGCGGAGGCCATGTTGATGGCGGTTTGCGGAGAGGATCAGGGGACAAAATTAGAAGCCAGTTGGCTTGTGGAATTAATTCAGATATTCTGCAGCATTCGTAAAGGTCGGATGATGGAATGCGAGTGGTTGTGGTAGACGGAATTGAATGGTGGTCTTGCAGGCTACACCCCACGTTGCTGTTGTTCACAATGAAGCTTATTGCGGTGGCCTCCTCGTCGCTTGGCGGTAGCTGATCGGCGGATAGATTATCCGAGATCAGTCAGCGACAAGTTAGGACTAGCGCTATTCTACAGAATTTTCGCATATCAAAAACTTCGGGGCTCGCACCCTTCCTCTTTTCTTCTCAATGCGCCCTTTTAGACAGTGCAGCTCAACATATAAAGCATGACCGACCTGGCATTCTGTCAGGTCTCCTTTGCCTTCCTATTGATGAAGTTAGCGATTTCGCGGCGCGGAGACGGAGCATGAGGTACCATAAGAGCTGGCCGAGCATTGTGTGCAAATACAACGGGTTGCTTGGGCGGCGTCAGAGGGACCATACATTTTATTTTCACCTTTTTTTTTTGAGGCTATTCCCGCAGCTTCAATACAAACTTACAAGTGCGGCATCTCAAGTTTCTCGGGCACCTTTTGTGAGCAACGCGACGACTAGAATTTTGGGTTTGCAGGTGGTGATCATACCCCAACCATGACCCTGCGCCTGCTTGGGCACATGTGGATGTTGATGTTCTTCAAAGACCAAGACAGCTTGGCTATGTGCTGTACAAGCTACAACCCGTCTCTCCCAGGGCTGCCAGCTTTGAGTTTTGCACTGCAAGTAGCCGAGAGTCTCTTCACCATGAGAAGCTCTTCTTAACCGCGATCTATTTCCTATTGTTTTTGATGCTGCTTTCCATATATAGCATACTCCGAGTAGCCATTTCTCAAATACTTGCCCGAGTCTAGGCTCGGATAAAGTCTCTATCTGAGTTTATCTTGAGTTTATCTTCTCCCTACGTCAGCGGCGAGATACTCGAGATTCGAAACGCGTGGCCATCACCAAATAGAATTGTCGGGTGACCATTTCCTTCAATTAACTGGACGAACTTAGTGTATAGTATCTCTCTGTTTGCCTGTGAAGTCAGAAGAGTTTCCAGGTTTCAAGGCACTCACCCTTTCACGTGGTCCCTCCTTTTTTAGCCCCCAATGAATTGCCGAATCGGTTCACTCGGTGCCATGTGATAGTCTTTCCTTGTGCGATCGCCTTTGGGGGGGAGAAAGGTCACACTCTCCTCCTGACTCGACCTCTCAGCCAGTATTAAGCAGGTACGAAAGCATGAATTATAGACGAGAAACCATCAGTTGAATGCTCAACTGAATTGCTATAATTCCATCTCCAGCCAGGGCCGAATTCAGAGTCCCTTGGAGTATTTGAAAGTCCGGGGGTACGAGTTCTCAGTACCTGCACCTGCACCTACACCTGCAAATCCATTGTCGTCTTCGCCTCCCAAAACCCCGCGGCCCCTCGCATCCAAACGTTGACCGCCGCTGGTCTCAAGTCAACCACAGCCTAACTTCCAGCTCTCTTGTACCCACCAATGCCGTGCTATTCGGCCACCAGAACTACACCAACACCAACCTCCATCACCCTATACCCATACCCATACCCAGACCCATACCCAGACCCCATTTAATCTGCAGAGTTTTTTCTTCTTCGACTGACCTGCAATCGGCGCAATCTTGCAGCCATTCCACTGCAAAAATGGAACAAAATCACATGCTCGAAAAACCACCGTCTTACGCCCAATCTCACGATCCTCAATCTCTCAATCTCCCCTCCGTACCCGCAACAGATCCACCACAACCACCTCCAACCATTCATCATGAACGAACTCTTCCTCCTCTACCACCTGCGCCCTCGGAATCGCGATATCGGTCCGAGGAACACTTCACATGGCCTTCTTCGAATCCTTTGACTGCATACTACCAACCCGGTCCTTCTCAACTATCGCCTAAGAGTAATTCTATCGCTGGTAAAGACTCACCTATGCGAATGGACTTGGATATGCAGGAGACTCGAGGGAGGAGGGGAGGGAGTGTGCTTTCAATAGATGACCCAGATGTCCGACTCGCTGCGGAAGCGCTGGGGGATTTACGTGCTGGTATGTCGTTATACTCCACCACGGTCCTGTTAACATACGAACTCATATGCAACAGACTTCGTTCAATCTCCTCCTCATAATACCATGTCATTACCCTCAAACTCACCAACGACAGCCCAAAGAACGAATCAGCAGCCCGAACCGCTACTTTCGCTTCTCACGACATCGCATCCTTTTCTTGGTACAGCTATTGGCGGTTCTTTGTCAGCATACTCTGCCTCCAAAAATTATAGTCCAAGATTCAAATCAAGTGCCGAGTTCTTAGAAAACCGCTTTACGCCAGTCGTAAATACAATTACATCCGTAAATCGCATGACGGGTGTGGAAGGAGGAGTACGATGGTTTCTTGGCGGGCGTAGACCCAGTCATCATCCGCCAACCGAGAACTCAGGAGAAGGTTCAAATAAACGTCGAAAAGTGGACACAGACGATCAAGATTCCGATCGAAATATCTCGCGCGACCCATACCCAGTCCACAGACAAGAACTTCAGCATCGTCAAAGAGCACCAAGCCATGCCTCCAATGCAGAAAGTCTCCCAGCCTACGACGACTACCGGAGCCCCAGCTACGAAGATGCTCAACAAGCTCTCGTTCCCACACAACCTCCGGGAGAAGTCGCAGATTCCGGGAGTTCATCATGGCATTCACGACTAGTACTCTCCACCAGTGGACTTAGCGTCGCTATGAGCGAAGAAAGTCTACGCAGTCTCAAATACTGCCTAGGGTGGCTTCGTTGGGCGAATGAACACATCGGAAAGGTCATATTGGCTTTAAAAGCAGTCTTGGAACAATACGAACACCCACAATCCAATAACTCGGGTACCATCACCAATTCGGAGCAGAGTAGGAGACCAAAAGGTCAAATGGTGGTCCGAAGCGATGCTGAACGCATAGCTCTCCACGCCAAGATCGCGGAACTCAAAAAAGACGTCTTGAAAACCTTAAAGAGTGTTGTGGATATTGTATCTAAATACGCTGGTGGTGCATTACCAGATAATGCAAAAATTCTGGTGCGAAGACATTTGACGTCGCTCCCGCAAAGGTTTAGAATTGCGAATGAGAGGAGTGATACAAGTAATGCACGTGGTCTGGAACAAGGCGATGCGGAGGTTACGGATGGGGCGAATAGGGTGCTAGTGCTGGCAAAGGAGGGGTTGGATATGATGGCGCAGGTCAGTGGCGTGCTGGACGGGACGATTGTTAGTGCGGAGGAGTGGTGCGAGAGATTGGGGATGAAGAAGAGAGAGGAGGCTGAGGGTAGGGGTGGGAGTGTTGGGAGTGGTAGCGAGAAATCTCCGAGTGTCATGAGTCCTATGGCTATGGACGGAGAGCGGAATGGGTACGGGTTCCAGGATGGAGATTCAAAGATGGGCTGAATTACGAATCTGGGTGTGTCTCTTTGCTGGAATTGTTTTAAATTCTTTAAAGATGTTGCGGGCGAGGGGTTATGCGGAGGAATCTTTCTTCATCCGCATGAAAGCGTTTGATCAAAACGGGCTGAAACGTTTCCTGGCGTTAATTTTCTTTTATCTTTTGGCGGAAAGGATATGGACATGGACATGGAAATGGGATTAGGATTCGGGGAATCTGGGGACCATGGCAAGATTTTGATATTGCTCAGCTAAGCAAGTTGATTGTTGGATGGTCTTGGTTGTTCTTTTTATATATACCATATACTTGCTTCTTTATGTTTTCTTTTCTGTTTCTTCTTCTTTCTGGGGTTTATTTGGGGATTTTTCGGGTGAGATGTTTAGCGACTCTATCTTGTCTGCGGTATGGAAATTGGGATTTGAAAAGGGGTGGGGATGGTGGTTTGGAGGGATGGGATGGGTTGGGATGGGGGTAGGGTAGTAAAATGATATGATTTCATGATTGAATTATCTTAGATCCTCTGGTTAGTGTGTGAGATGCTGGGAATGGTGTTCTGGAAGGTGGTTTGCTTTGGTGTGTTTTTCTTGGTAGGTAGGTTGGTAGGTAAGTAAGTACTCTAGGCTATAGCTTATTAGTTTTTCTACATACGTATGTAAGCACTACTTATAGAAGCAAGGGGTTTCAATAGGATAGTGGCTACGTAATGTTTCTCTTGTTTGTAGGTGTGTTTTTAGGGCCGTTGATGGGAGGGTTATAGGGCATAGGGCTTTTACAGTAGATGCTTCTACCTCTTTTTTCTTTTGGGAAATTGGAAAGAAGGTGATGTGAGGAGAGGTATGTGTGCTTTTTGTAATGATGGAGTACTGTGGTTTGATTGGATTATTTTATAAGTGTGCTCACGGCCTGATTGTGAGGGGATACTCCTTAGTTTGGTAGGATTTTGGGGATAGACTGTGGTGGAATGGTTGAGAGAGAGCTGTTATTGAAGATGTCTCGTTTTGTACGTTTCTTGTCACTTGTCTCTCCTTCCTCTTTATTGCTTACTGTATTTCCTGTCTTTCAGGCTTGATGGTGTGCTGTATGTTACACCTAGTTTCTACTTCATGCTTCTTTCTCCTTTGAGATGTTGGGAGGGAAAGAGAAACAAGCTATCTCCTTCTTTTTGGAGTTGGAGTTTAGGGATGAAAGGAGGGTGGGAGATGGGGGTTTGTATTTATACGATTATAACCCCATCATTCTGCTGGCCTTTTTTGTATTTATTCTCAGTCATTTGAATGGAGCGGAGATCTGGATTTTGATATGAAGGCAAATTAAAGGATACGAATGAGGAATACGAACAAAGTGCACAGGTCGAAATTAGATCCGGAAACGAACTTCGAAATCAAGGGTAGAAGTATACAACTGATCCACGCGATAGAAGCCCTTTCCACACGCTTTTCAGCGTCGGGAATCCACGGATATATTCTTCAAGCGAGGGGTTGTGCGGAATTTAGGGCGCGAGAGAGATGGAGGAAGAGGATCTTTACGGTGTATCGGATCGAGAGGATGGTGATCAGAAACCTTTACATGTATGTCGATCAGGAAGTGGAACGGAAGACGTAGGAGTGAAGCAGGGATCTGGGGGTCGGGAGGGAGAAAAGCATCAGTGTGATGAGCTAGGGAAAGGAGACGACAAGCAAAATAGCTGCGAGTTCGAAGGCGCTGGAAACAATATGGGGGGAACTCTACTGAAGATGGGGCAGGACAAAGTTTCACGAGTAACCGGTCCGGATAGTGACTCGGTTGAGGGAGCTGGGAACCATGAAGATACTAGGCATCAAGGCGATCCTCGGCTTCAACGAGAAATAGGCTGTCCGAATAGTGAAGATTCCAATTCTTCACAACAACCTTGTCACACTGGGAGCTCTGGATCACCTGGGACCTCTGTAAAACACGATGAGTTTAAAGATTCTGGAGTTGACGGACCTGAGGTTTCCATCAAATCCACATCTTCCAAAGTTGGCGAACTTGTCGAGATTTCGCAATCAGAAAACCGGCCGTCTTCTCTAGCTACATATGCCCGCTCTTACACATATTCTGAAGAACTTGCAAGTCCTTCGAATACCGTTGACAACGAAACCTGTAGTCGTGATGGTGGCACAGAACAGCAACCTCGAGTTCTTCGGGATTTTACTAGTGATAGCAGCGATGAGATGAACAGAGGGCCACCAAAAAAGGACGAAGACGATGAGCACAGATTGATGATTTTCAAAGAAATCAAAGACGAAGAATGTGGTAACGTGGAAGCAACACATCAGAATCCCGATTTGAGCGGTCATGCGCTTTCAGAGGACTTAAGCGAGCCTCTCCTTTTCCTCATGCCGCGGAGTGAATCCACAACAACAAAGGACAACGATCTTGAGAATGAGAGGTACACAACAACCAAGTTTATAAACAATAATATAGTACCGCTCGAAGAAACCTCCAAAACTTCACGGAGCCCACAAACAAATGAGCAACCCCAGACAACAAACCCCGACCATCAACAGCACCCAACGATGCGAAACGATGAAGTTCTATTAGCCGGTTTACTCGCCAAAGATACCAAGTCAAACAAAATCATGTCTCCCGTTCTACCATCCCAACCTGTCCAAGTCCGAGTCAACCTCGCGCGACAGGTACCCTGGACGCCAACCTACACCCCACAACCATCCCACACTCTCGAACTCCACCAAAGAATCGCGGCCGAAACCAAACTGCTCGACGACTTACGCACCCTCCTATCCTTCGTCTTCTCTCAAATACCTCCTAATCCCCCACACGTCAAGAACGTCCTATTCATCCTCGAAGAACGCGGGTTCGACCACGACGGCGAGCTGTATACTAATCTGATCGAGGCTGTGGAACATGTTGTGCGACACTACGATGCTGATAATGGTGTGGCACTTGGGGATTTTGTGAGGAATGCTTTGGGGGCTGTTGAGAAGGGGAGTGAGGCTAGGGATGGGGATGTTGTTGTTGCGGGGATGGTGTTGGGTAGTGCGGTGGAGATTTTGAGAGAGGAGGGGGATGTTGAGGGGCTTTTTGGGAGGGATTGGACGGAGGGTGTTGATGCTTATTTTGAGACGCTTCAGAGAGATGAGGATGGGGAGGGAGGAGCAGCGGAGGGGAATGAGGGGGGACAAGGTGGAGGAGATACGAAGCAAGTATCTACGGATCGAGAAAGCCTGGTGAACACATTGGTCCAGCAGCTGATTGATATTGTGACCTTTGCTTTTCCGTCACATAAACAAGTCTCTCTGACTCCCAATTCCATCCGAGACATCTTGAAGATATTGGAACGCTGGGATGCGGGATCCCTAGAACGAATCACGAGGGTCTCGCTTGATGATGTGGAAGAGTGGTTGGGGAATATCACGGACAGCAGAGAGATGGGGGAGGCTGTTAGAATTGGCTTGGAAGTGCTCCAGAAGGGGAAGCAGCTGAGAATCCGACTCTCAAGGCTGCTGCTGAGATTCTGACGGACACTTTTCAAAATTATAATCAAATGGAGGAAGACCAACGACTGAGAGATGGGGAGAGAAGGAACGGGGGAATTGACCGAGTGGAACAAGTATCCGCAGACCGCGCGAGTCTCTTCAAGAACCTGGTTGAGGGGTTGATCAGTATCCTGCGTTGGTTGTTCTATGAGAATGACTGCGAGGTTCCCGAATCCGTGCGAACTGTCTTGAAAATCCTGGAAGACGGTGGAGAATCCCAAGAACAAATTACGTTGAAGATGATATTTGTGGTCATAGATGATATGATTCATATCGGAGTCGACGAAAATACTCAGGTGGCAATTCAAAATGGATTGGGACAGCTTTGGGAGGGAGGACCGATTGGACATGGACGTGTTAGGGAGGCTGGTGAGGCGTTGGGGCGAGCTTGGGAGCGATTACCGGGACATAAGAAAGAGAGAGGTCAAGCGAGAGATGTGATTTCAGGGGGTAGCCGAGAGCGAACTTCCGAGGACAATACCGTACAAACACCATCTCACCTGCCGTCAAACGACCACCCGCAAATCCAAACACAAGCACCATCCACTCGTACCAATGAACGACGCGCTCTTGAGAGCAGAGTAGTAAAGGCATTAATCGACATCCACACATCGATATACGGCCATCTCGGTCGAGATCTATTCCCCAAACCAGTCCGCTACGCAATGGATATTCTGAGAACAGAAGGTTTTCGTGGAACGATAGACAATATTCCAGGTCTTAATCAGTCGTCGAGACAGTTCCACGTTGATCCCCAGTTCCAAGAATATATCGTGAGGAGTTTTCAACCATTCAATCGGGGCGAGAGTGCTTCGGATTCGGATTTGGCTATGGTTGCGGGGTTGTTGGAGAATGGGATTAGGTTGATAGGGGAGAAAGGTGATAGAGGACGGGGTGGTGTATTGAGGAATGGTACTTCTATGCTTGCTAAGCAAGGGGATCTGAGATGATGTGGTGGAGTATGGGAATTAAGGGGTAGATATTTCGGATCGGCGGAGAGCAAGCGTCTTATTCTTAGCGGGCGGAGATTCATGATCAGTGTTACTTGGGATAGCAGAAGGATATGGCTTTGTATCTATTGGGTGAGGATCTGGTTCACTATGTCTAAACATAAACATAATTTACTGCTTTTCTATCTCTGAACCATCTTAAGTAATCTCGTTTGTGAGATGTCTTTTCGTGAAAGGCTTGAATAGCATACATCTCAATTAACCTTTTATCTAAAAATAATCATTCTTACTCAATGCTATTTGACTTCGCACTCTAAGAAAACTCAGAATCAATCTGGAAAAGTATATAGACTCAAGAAAAGATATGATTGAACAAAAATGCTATATTTTAGGCAATGCAAAGCGTCAGTTTAACTTTTCCTATACTCTACTAGACTTGCTGTACCATTGCCTTATTTCTTAGGTCCCTTCTGGTTGATGTCACGTTTACTACAAGTACTGTTAATTCTGGATGTTGGTCGTTTGTTCATCTCTTTTGAGTCTTTCAGGTGATAGGGTCGCAAATAAATTCCAACAACGAGTAAAAGGCTACTGATAGATTTTTTGTTTATTTCTTTACTATTTTTTGGGTTACGAAGCTGGAAAACATCAATTCCTTATTTGTGTTTCAGATTAGCAGCGTTCGGCAAATGGAATTCCATTCCATTCCAGAACCCCCCTCTGGAAGGATTCCATTCCAGACCCTCTAATTCCATGGAATTTATGGAATTTCCAGCTGGAATATGTCACATGACCGGATAAATGTGCCCCCACTCCGTGGACTAATAGGAAGTCCCTTAGGCCTAGTTTATATAAGTACCTATGCAGGTGTAGTCAAATAACAGACAGGTCACGTGCAAGCACCCCCCTAGCCGGGCTCGCCAGGTACCTTAGTACTCCTTCGAGTTCGCTATGTTTAATTGTCAAGAAATATATTCGATACTAATACTCCTACCTATTTATCTAGCTCTATAATACTCCCTATAAATCACGTGTTTTAATTGGTCTAGAATTCTATTCTTCCATGGAATTCTAGAGCCTAGTTGACGGAAGGATTCCATTCTATTTTATAGGTGCTCTGGAAGTATTCCATATGGAATATTCCACCTGGAATTCCATGGAATATGGTTCCATTTGTCGAACGTTGCAGATTAGTACTGGCCCACTATAAAGCACTTCTACTATGAAGTTTTCAAGACTTTTTAGGTTTGAACTATAGATACCCTCTCTAGTTCGAATGTTGAGCAGCATTGTTGTTGCTCTGTATATCTTACGCCCATCATAGCCGACCTACGTAAAACATTAAATATATACTCAGCCTAATATTTGCCTTGATAAAGTAAGATCTTACAAATCATACTCATCTAGATTAATACTTTCCTTTCTAAGCAACACAAGTAAGATTTATGTTCATTTCGAATATCGCTCCATTTGAATTGTCTATGCGTTTCATGCAAGCCTGCTATGCAAACTTGCTTTGCAAGCCTTGGGTTATCATTTGTGTTCGAGCTCGCTTAACCCCGTATCACCATGAATTCCAACCATATCACTTATTACTTCCAAGCCAACAACTGAACAGTCTCAAAAGACAATCCCCTACCACCATTCTTCTCCCATTCTTTGAAAGCCTTGTCCCACCCACGGATCTGCTCAAGTGTTCCCATTTCCAAGCGAAGACAGAATTCCTCCCCCTCACCAGGAGCACATGGGCCACCAACAGGTATGTTGACTAAATGATATCAATCTGACATCCCGTAGTAACAAGATTCTTTGAAAGGGATACTCACCTTGCAGAACCGCATTTTTGGCCTCGACTCTCGCGAATTTAGCCTCGAGTGCATCTCTCGCCAACTCATTTCCAGCATGAGGATGAGTACCCGTCCTATAAGTTGCCTCCTGCGCATGCTTCCAGTAATCCAACATACCATCATTGGCATCTTCGTACTTCCCCGTCTCGGTATTGCAATCGCAAACCGCAACCACTCCACTTGGCCTACAAACACGATAAAATGCCTTCATAGCCTCCTTGGGACCAGAACCGGGGAGGTGTTCAAGGACGCAATGGCAGTGTACAATATCAAAGCTGTTATCTGGGAACTCGAGTTTGAGGGTGTTCCCAACTTCAAAAGTAAGATTGGGGAGTGGATAAGAGGCACGAGCTTGAGAGACTACCGTGGAGAAGTAATCGACACCTACAGTGGTACCGGAGGGGGCGAGGTTGGCTAGATCTCTGGTTATGCTGCCTGGACCACAACCGACATCAAGTATTTTGGAGTCTGGCTTTATGTGTCTACCGGACGTGAGATTTTGAAGGAAACATTATAATGACGAGAATCGTGAGCTTACGGGATGAGATAGTCGGCACATACTTGAGCAGTACGCTCGTGGTAGTACGCAGTGAGGTTCTTTTGGCTTCCGTCGACCTTTTTGTACATCTTTGGGGACTCTGTTGTGACTTAATGAGGTTACCAAAAATATTATATGTCTCCTTGCCCAAGGCCATGCGAAGGATTCAAGATTAAATACTTGCGTTCTTAGCCACTGCCCAGCAAGTCAAGAATTGCGTCTTTTCTCGCTTCAGAGATAAGTGTTTCAGGAGTGGGGTGCCCCTTGTTCTTACTATCCATTCGTCGGTGTGTATGTACGCCTAGGACTTTAAGCTTACGATTCCTATTTAAGCGGTCGGGCCGGTCGAAATGATGCCTGGGCGCGCTACGGGGCTTGGCCGACTTCCTCCGCCCCAATTAAGTAGTAGTATCGTTCAGTACCGAGACTTAAAGTGGGTATCGCAAACTTCAAAACCTAGACGTACATACACGAAGGGATATTCACTACCATCTAGAGGAGTCCTCCTATAATGCTTTACACTTTGGCTATACTGCTTGACAGCTAACCAAATGAGGGAAGTGGGTACCCGTGTCACGAAGTGCTAAAAAAAATACTAAGTGGCCTTATCAAAGTGTACACCTACCTAGGTAAGACGTGACGCGACAGTGAGATTCATATTCCACTAACCTTAACCTGTAGCCCTATCCCTAACTCTAACCCGCGGGGTGCGAATTCAAAGTGCGAGGGCATAGTAAGGGCACGACAGTAAGAGTGCGACAGTGAAGGTAGATGGGAATAGCTTCTTGTGTTGCCTTGAAATGCCGCGAGGTATGTACACGCATTTCCTAATCACACCCAAAACATAACTAAAGTTGAAATGCTAAGTCACTAGGAGTCGCGGAACGCCCCTTCTTCCTAAACGGGTTTAGCTGTCAAGCATTATAGCCAAAGTGTAAAGCATTATAGGAGGAGTCATCTAAAGAGTCTCCTGGAAGACCAGAGTCCTTTTATATAGCCATCTACGTCATTTGAGGGATTTGTTTAGAGCCATATATCCAAATCTCACGAAGTTTCAACCCTCTCATACGTCGTGAAATCCAAGACGTATTATTGTTTTTTGACATTGGAGCTGTCCTGTTGCAACTGTTAGATTGCATAATTATAACTGGCCACTCGTACAGCTTTTAGGTAGGTAAATACTAATTTTGTCCGGTGAATTGTGAGATTTTGAGCATCACTTTATCAGTGTTCCATTTACTATAAACAAAATGCGACTATCGAGGATTCAAGCTAGGGATTAGCCTTCCATTCCTAGCCTACACCTACTTCACTCGGGGGAATTCTGACCGCAACGTTTATAAACAAAGGGTTCTGCTTCGCTGAAGGACTAGGTCTCGTATCCTTGCATTCACCTCTATCAAATAACTCTCTCAGTTTCTTTTTTTTAAACTCCTTGGGGCACCCGAGGACCGAGTCCAATTCTTGCATTTGATTCAGGCGAACATTACGTTCCTGGAGACCTCTTTAAAGAAGTCATCGCGTTGCTTTCAAGCAATGAATCAAGGACTATTCACACCAATGTCTTCGAATTATTCCGGTCCCACCGTCAACATGACGGCCCCCCAATCGTCTATCCCTCTTACAATTCTTTCGATGGCTCAAAGCGTCAAGATACCCTCGTTTCGAACATCCTTCTTGACTGTCGCAACGCTATTTGCCGCACTTTTGATCTACAGAATCATCTACAACCTCTACTTCCATACCCTCGCTAAATTTCCTGGACCGTGGTGGGCAGCGGTCAGCTCTCTACCAGACGCAATTATCGCCGCCCACCGAAAGGAAGTCACCTGGTTCAATCTCTCATCAAGAAATATGGAGGCAAGACTAAAATTCACCAACCGTTCCCCTGATCTCTCACCTCATTATCTTCCCCTGTAACTAACCCCTGATTCAGCCGACACACCAATCCGCGTCCAACCTAATCTGCTTCTCTTCGTCCGACCATCAGCTCTGAAACCCATCTATCGCGATCCTGACACTAATACTAAGTCTAAAATTTACATGTCTAAATTTCTGAGTCCTACACAGGTCTTCTGTATTCGAGACGGTAACAGACATCGAGCTGTTCGAAAAGCCGTTTCTGGCGGTTTCACAATCGGTGCTATCCAGAAAACCTGGGAGAGTAAGATTGATGGCTTGATTCACCTGTGGTTACAGGAGATTACAGCGAGAGCGAAGCGAGGAGAGGAAATATGAGTGATAGAACTGCGTGAGCATTAACTTCCGCCTAGGTTCCCAGTTTACCAAAAGCAGGAAGAACACTGACACAAAGAGCACAACAGTCAATTCTCTGCCGACATCTTGACACTCGTCTCCTTCGGCGAAAACTGAGTCTTCATCGAAAACGAGCGCGACAAACGAGGCCTAATCACTAGTTTCCGCAAGATTCTTGATACCCTCGCAGCATTCTGTCGTTCAACCTTCATCCGAGAAACTTTAGCATACACTCCCATTATCATGAACTATGTGGTTCCCGACAACAAGGAGACAAAAGAGGGTTGGGGATTTCTGTTCGGTCTTGCTATCAAGGAAGTAGCTAAGCGAGAAGAGCAATTGAAGCATGGAATCCTCCCTGAGTCAAAGGACTTTATGCAACAGTAAGTATTTACCTCCCTTGAAAACAGCGGAGAAGACTCATTTATTCGAATCAATGAGTTTATACTAACCAAAACAACAGTGCAATGGAAGCAACTCTCGAGGGCCGCCCCCTAACCCCCTATGAAAAGCAAGCACAAGTAACCCTCCTAATTCTCGCCGGTGCCGAAACTACAGCCGTAACACTGGCTTGCCTCCTCCGCTTCCTTGTCCTCCACCCTCAAATTCTCGAAAAGGCACGACAAGAAATCGACAACGCATTGGAAAACGCACTTATCTCGGCCCCAGTAAAGTTTCAAGAAGCGCTTAACCATCTCCCTTACTTTGTAGCTTGTGCAAAGGAGGCATTACGTTTAAACCCCCCTGCTGCTTTTACTAAGTTCCCTTTTCTCTCTCCTTAACACATTCTTTCCTGTTGTTCAGCCAAAACTTAGCCCTAAGAATTGAAAAACTGGATGTATTTATTAATAACCCCCACAGTCTTCTCCCGCGAGATCCCCCCAGCCGGAAAACCCATAGACGGACACTTCATCCCCGGCGGCACCGACGTAGTGACCCAGGCCCACATTGTCCAACGAGACCCCATACTCTACGCACCCGACCCAGAGGTATATCGACCAGAACGTTGGCTCGAAAGCGATGAAAAGACAAAGGAATTCGAGGCCGCAAGTTTTGTTTTCGGTACTGGCCCAAGATTCTGTTTAGGCAAGGACATTGCGCTTATGGAGCTTTACAAGCTGGTTCCTGAGGTGAGTGGTACCTCCCAAAGAAGATGAAGGCGGGGGTAGGCTTAAGTGATATCAGAGCTAACAAGGCTATAGGTAATTAGAAACTTCGATATCGAACTCATCAACGAGGGAACATATCATATCTCGGGACAGGTCACCCATTTGGACGACTTCATTGTTAAGTTGCATCCACGAGTCTCCTGATTGGTTATTGCATCACAACGAATCTTTTCGGAAAGAATATCGACCAGTCCTGAATGTCCATTTTTTGATAAGATGGCAAATTTAGGGTCTCTTAGATGGATGGAAAATGATTCGCTAACAGAAACCTCATTCAAACATCGAACTTTGTCTGAAAGTCTTTCCGTGTACTAATATTAGTCATCCCCAGTAAGCCTCTGCTTACCAGAAGAAATTCAAAAACGAGTTCAAATTCAAATAAACCTCCCAAATTTTAAAGTGGATGAATGAGTTTCTTTGCTGTGAATAGGTTTGCCTTAGGCTTAAACCACCTAGTCTTCTAGTAAACATGAAAATTGCTAGAAACTTGTTTTCTATTGATTAGTGTGAGTAAGTAGTATCTAAAGTATCCAGCTTTTTCAAAATGTAAGTATATTAAGATATTTACTATGATTATTCAGAGACTTTTAGTTACATGGTTTTGCTATTGCGATACCTAAAATAATAAAATACTTTGGGATCAAATTACGCTAATAGAAAGGCATGTCCGCCACATTTCTGGTCCATCAGAGGCTAGTAAGGAGATTTGAAAGTTCAACACCCATTGACTAAGACTGCGTAACACGCGCCGAATCCAGTAGAAAGGTTAACGTAATGGTAAAGTATGGTACGTCGCGGAAGGAAAATAAAACAACAGGAAACTAGAATAAGAACGAGGATCTGAAAACAATAGCCAGCATTAATCCAATGCCAAAATAAATATAGACACCCCGCAACAAAATACCAATACGAAGGAGACTAAGCATTCATCAGACCATCCAAAATGAGGTTCGTGCTTATCCAAATAACCTCCAAACAAGATTATGATATGCCCAAGCTTTATATCACTTTGTCCAAGAACCACTGGGAGAAACAAGGCCGTGATACTGTGGTACTCGCTATGCACCGGACATGCTATAAACAGTTTCGAGACCACCACTATTTCATTCAATGTATCGGCCACCATACTAAAGCATTCGTAGATTGTTTTGTTCCGAGTCCCCGGCAATTTAGCGAAATATAGGGGTACGACCGTATTCCAGGTCAAACAAAATATCCGCAGTCGAACCCTCTGGGTTTTCTGGATCGAGGTAAATTGTAGTAACAAATCCTCTTTCTGGGACGCCTACAGGAAGTTAGAAAACCACATTGGGCGAGATACTGCAAGCAAACATACATCCACTTGGCCTTCGATGACCTCGCCATTCCCCACCATACCAGGCGTAGTCTCCGATCAGTGCTTCATGAAGATCATTACGGTTTGCGCAGGAGAATGCCACCAATGACACAGCAATTGGTAGAACTCCAGCTAATCCCCTATGCGCATGATCATGTGAAGAAGATTGCCGACGATAGCTGTTTGGCAACAGCTGATCTATCCAAGGAGCAGCATGAACATCGAGATGAGGTTGAGCGCCTGCGTGCTCCAGACGAGAGATATTATGGCTATGGGAAAAGGTGAGAGGATGCCAATCGTCTTCGAGATCTGCTGTTGCCAAGTTCCTCATGCTGGCATCCACTCTTGAGGTAAAGAAGAGGTCGAATCGATTGCAATAGAACACAGTAGCAGCTCTGTAGTACTCGGGAACATCCTGGGTACAAGTGTTCCAAATTCTTCCGTTTGCTGTATTAGCAATCGTATCGTACTGGTTCCAAGCGTAATCAGATGCTGAGCTCACGACGCCATCTGTCCATCGGTAAACCCAACCTGGTTGTTGGGGTTTGAATCCGCGAATGTCTCGCGGTGGTCTCCATCTGCCATCGACATATCGTGCTTCCATAGAGCCGAGTTCTTCTGGTTTGTCATTCGTAGGCAATTCGTTGGAGATGAAGAGAAAGCTTGTTGGTGCTGATGGAGACGAGGCAGACTTGGACGAGGATCCTTGCGACTTCGGGCCGTGGCCTCGTGATCTCTGAAGTCATTAAGACCCGTAGAATGAACTCCAAAATCTCGTATCTAGAGAACTTACGTGCTTAGTCTTAGTCGACATTTCTGAGGATAGTTGGTGACTCCAAGACGAGCTTTGGTCCTTTGGTTATTGAAACCCCAAGACAAATTTGCGAAATCATATTGAAGATAACATGAAGAACGATGCCCAAGTATAGAATTATCCAGATTCTAGAACATGAGTGACCGGTGAGCAAAGAGGCAATGAGGAGTTCTCGGAAAGATTGTACTGGTGCCCGATAGTAGCGAAAGTGGTCCTCGTGATGATATTCATTGGACCAAGGGGAGTTCTATGAGGGGAGATCCTGGCAATAAGTGCGTGGCTGCTTCACATATGCAGCTTTGATCGCTAGATACTGAACAGGAGCAAATGGTAACATGATAGCAACGCCTCCAGGTGGACGATCTGCACCAACTTCGGAAGCTTCTAGGGGAGACCAAGGGCGTAAGGGAAATTGACAACACATAGATATGACCTTCCATGTCAAACGTTCGATTATCTCGGCTCATCTAGAACTCATATAGGGTCCTCAAGAATCTATTGGTTCGATGATGGGCCTCGGTAGCAATTACCCCAACTGCATGGGTAATAGCGAGCGGGTAGAATCTGCAGTTGCCCATTTCTTGGGGTGGTCGCCAATTTAGAGTTAAGTATGAGGGTGGACGTGAGCCATCGAAAGCCACAACATGCATCGTCACCGGAGTAATGGAGTAGAGCAAACACCGACGCCTGGATGTGTCTTGGAAAGTAATTAACCCGAAAGTCCTGAGCACCATGACAATCCATAGCCACTTTCACAATTGGGGATGTAACTATGTACCCCGCCTTGAGACTCTTCGTGAATTGGAAATTCTGCAAGTAGAAGAATGGACCCTGCACTTCCATCTTTGTAAGGATGCAGCAAGTTTAACCTCGTTCATTCTCGTTACCTCAGAGCCGAAGGAAGGTGGCGCTGCCTTCTTTTGGACTCGTCCATGCACCCTGGAAAAAGACCAACGTATTTTTGCAAGGGGTGTTGAACACGAGCACGAGAAACAGGACGGCACCAAGTGGGAGGGATCTGAACATTGCGGCTCTGCGTTCACGTCAGACGCTTCTGAAGTATAACTGGAGGGTCGGCCATCGCTCAAATGTCAGAAATTTTACCGACTTGTGTACGTGAGATGGAATTTGATTTGGCGGTCATCCGTGGTGTGCTTGTCTTGCGGCAAGTGAGGTGGATGGCAGTCGGACCAATCAAATGTCTGATTTCCATGAACCTGCAGATGTTTAGCGACCTTTCAGAAGTCTGGAGGGTTGTGGCCAAGGACGCCAAACAGTACCTGAATGATACTTATTGAAACCGAGAGGCGAGACGAGAGGAGGGAAATTTTGTCTTTGGGCTCTGGTTTATTTATCGCTTTCTGGACGTCAATCTTTAGGGTGGGAGCCCTTTCTTATATTCTCAGCTGCTGCGCTTTTACAAGGGTCATTTGCCATTTCATGCACCTCGATCACCACTCTTAGTAGTTGGGCGAGAGAGCGATCATTTTCTCACTTAGCCTGGTTGCCTCGTTTTGAGAGCATTTGCCTCGCTCGTTTTGAGATAGAAACAGTCCGCATGGCCACTTTCAAGATGAAGCGCGTCCAATAGAACAGATAATTGCGGGCATATGCAGACAATTTCTGCAGGTGATAGCAATTAGTATTGGCATCGCTTCTTCCAAACACGAGCGACGCCTGGGCGAACCACTTTTGAGTATGGGAAATTTGCTCCGCCTCGAGAAAAGGTTGTGGTCGAATTAAGCTTCTGCTTGAAGGGCCCGATGACAGATGACCCAACATTCCAGAGGCATATCATTACTCACTGGTCGTTTGAAGCTGAAATTATGGGCCTATGAAACGAATATGAACGGATGCTTTACCATTGTGTTTGTGAGTTCTGGCCCAGTTCATACTTGAACCATTGTGGCTCATTGGGCCGTTTTACGGAGATTTCTCCGCGGGAAAAATTAACTGAGTTCGGCAAAGTCACCCCTAGTTCCATGGTCCGATGAAAAAGCTATGGGATTGGCTGTCAATTTCATCATCAGTTCGCATGTGAGCAAGTAATGATGACTCCGAGTAAGAGATGTTGAAACGCGACCTTGGGTCTCGTATTCAATATTCTATCCTTTCATCGCGTGTCTTCTCAGAACCTTGATGGGCAGAGACGAAATGACAGACCTTAAATTTCGAGGGGAGTTTTGCGATAGGATTGTGTCTACACTGGCCCGTCAGCAACGGCATGCAGCTTCCCCGGTCATGATTTGACCTTGCTGACATGCCATTTCCTCTCCGATGAAACGACAGCATTCGCAACATGAATATTCGAGGGTTGAAAAGGATATTTACAAACCTGTTTATCTGATGCTGTCAGTCTGGCTACTTGATGTGAGAAGGGACTTGCGTGCTCGACAAAAAGCGATGAGAACTTGATTGACAGAGTTGTAGCAAGTAAAACAGGACGAACAGCAGAGGGAAAATGAACTCATTGCTGTTATTGCGCTATATTCATCAATAGAGACGCACTGAGAAAGACCCTACGCCGAGGTTGAGTGAGGAAAGGAGGTCGTTGTCGGCGAACAGAAAGTTTACTCTTGAAGCAAGCGACGGGAGCTTTACCAAAACGGGCATAGTACCCTCTCGCCCAATCAGGGGCAACAAAGCCTCACAAAGTGCTTATATACTATGTAAATGCTCTTTATCTTATTGGAGATAATTTTTGTAAATTTATTGATAAGACTAATATACGCTAAACATTATATCAGGTCTCGTGACACTGGATACTCCATTAGACCCATAGGCTGTATCTAATTTTATAACCCTCATTTTTCAATTTCCACCTAGGTACAGAATGATTATATCTAATGGATATATTTTAGTTCACTAACTTTATTATATTTGTTTAATAAACATTACTTATAACTAATAATCTCTTTGGTTTTTTGAGATTATAATATGAAACAGAGTTTTTTTTAGCTACATAGTCATTTGATTAAATTATATTTATTATAGTTGGTATTTAAAAGAGCACAAAGCGATTTTCAAGTACCACTAAACGGATTTAGTACTATGAGTCACAGACTCTTGATCTTAGCCTGATTAAACCAAAATACACATTTCTATAACTACAACCTTAATACAGTAGCTACCCAGACAGTCTTTACAAACCGAGTAGGATTTAATGAACCCAAGTATATGTTAGACATAGCTTAGAAAATCACGTAGAAAGATAGCTACATGGCATTAGCGGTAAGGTTTCCTACTAATCTCTTCCTACTTTTTTCAAATTTACAAAATTCTCTCAAATTGTTTCACTACGAAAATGCATTCATTTATCTTTCCTCCCCAGTTTTCTTATTGGTCACTCCAGATTCAGCATTTTTCCCAGCTAGGAAAGCATATTCATGTGATCTTACCCTTCTTTCATTTTCAAGTTTACTTCCCCCACCAACAAAAGTCCTTCCACCAACTACCTTATTAACTTAAATATCTATTCTCTATTCCATATTACAGTCACTCTTCACCTATTACTTTTCTACCACACAAGAACATTCACCCACCTTCGACTTTCCACCTCTCCAATTACGCATCCACTTTATCTTTCTTACCCCCGCAAGCTCATTTCAAACCCCAAATGATCGATTTTTCAAACCCGTATTAGCTCAACCCGCTTCTACTGACCAACAAATCCCCAACTACCCTCCCTACTCTACCTGCTTTCGCAATTCATAGCATAAAAGGCTCAAAAGAGTAAACATATCCTCTCAAATCCCAAACAATCCTTTCCTCAACCAAAACTTTCCAGAATCCATAGTATCTTCAAGTTCGCAAGATTAGTGATTAGCCCTCCTCACTCATCCCTCCCCCGAAAACAAGATTTACTACTAACACCCATGAATGAATTTACCTAGCAGCATCAACATCAACATCAACTTCAGCATCACAAACACAACTTCCCAACTTCCCGGCCTCCAACCTTCCAAATCCTCCATTCTATCATAAAAACAAACATGCTGCAGAACAAGCATTACAAAGTCCCCGCCCACCCTTTAAATGATCTTAATACCCAATACCTACCCAGCCAGTCATAGCCACGAGCCTTCACTTCCTAAGCGCACAACAAAGCATACCACTCCATCCCACCTAAGTAAAAAAGAAGGCCAAGAACAAAAAATTACAATTAATCTCGAGCTCAAACAAAAGTACCGAACAAATACCATTACCCTAACCTGCGGCACAGTACTTCTGGAGCTTCAACAATCAACTGAGAATTAGCGAACCAATCATCAACTGGCCTTCCAATTCCACGGTACATCTGCAAACTTCTGAGCTTCATTTTATTCACATCCAACAGTATTCCCAGGTACTGCGTCTATAAAAGCCACAAAATATCAGAGACATTCCGTCGAACCAAACAATTTTCAAAGAGCGAGGCAACCCGCAACATCAACACATAAACAGACCAACTTTCACTTCAAAGGCGTTCAAGGATTTAAAGCGATAGTGGAAACGAGTTTCAAAAATCAAGCGCTCTATTGGAATTTGTTCGCTGCTGCCTTTTTCTAGAATCTACTCTGCTAATAACAAATCATCGTGCCAGTCACATTTCCGAAACAGAAACCGATCCAGTGTACTGTTGTAAAAATTACCGCAACAAGCTTTCAACTTGAATTCTGATTGTTTGCCCACTGGTACACAAGATTTGTTGTTTTCAGGCGCACATTCGGTCTTTTTGCGCCCAGATGTGCTAGTCGCATTGCCTATCTTCTGTGTCCACTCATACCAGCAGGTTGCATCTGCAACAACCTTGTTAACACACTTTGGCTCTGAATCTCCTGTGTCGAGATATGTGAATCCAGGGCCACATAGTATCGTATCAGCTTTCATTCGCTTCCAATACACGGGATGACCTAGTGTTGGAATTAAAGTCATGACATAACAGGTGGCGCCAGTTTCCGTAATTCTGGGCGAAGATGTGCAAGTCGTCCAATCAGCAGAATTGGTAGGCTTTTGCACTGTACACACCTCTTCACCCGCAGGCGTGATTCGCTTGAACGTGCTACTGTCGATACTTCTATATATCGCATCATCGCATATCTCCGTCCCGTGGACAGGCAGGATATTAACAAAGGCTACAAACAGAGCAGCTGCCAATATGATAAGGCCCCAACTCATCCTAGACCCCATCCACATTTCTCTTTCTGTATCTCCCTCCATCAACCCCTCTTCCAGTTGAGCGTCTACCTTATTCAGATGCTGAGAACGTTCTTCCAATCTTCGCCGGCTCATTTCAAAGTGATGGTTTCCAGTTGGTTGAGCATTCTGGTTCAAGGAGTGAAGATTAGGATTCGACTTTCTCCGAAGGAGAGGTTGGGTCTCAGTGGTCTCAGGGCGACTGGCGCGTTCGGTGACCATTGAATTACGCCTGGTGATTTTGTGGGGGACACACACGTTTCCAGGGTTATTTGTGACGTTGTTCATCGATGGAGCACTGACGCCAATTGGATTCATGAATGCGCTGGGAATAGCGGCTAGTGAAATCTGTTAGCTAGCTAGTCATTACAATTCAAGATCGAGAAATACCTTGGTAGTTTGGAGCTCGAGGGTTGATGTGTTGAGCCTGTTCCCTCGCTACTGTTTGGGTGGACATGGAAGCTTCGTATCGAGACTTCTCGCTACCTTCCCATTGAGATGTCGATGAGGACGATGAGGATGAAGAAGCTGGAGACTTCTCACTCTCTGGCGTCTCCGAGAGCTTTTGAGGACGCTTCACTCTGTGGCCTAAACCCACATCCTCAGGGCCAGGGATTGTGGATGTTGCTGTAGGGTTTCGAATGAATGTACGAATTACTTTGCGCGGTTTTGGAGTTGGTGTAGTAGTAGTGCCGTACGACGGAGTTTGTTGTGGGCTTCCAGTGGTTGATGCCTCCGACTTTTCATTAGCCTGTTGACCCAAGAATCTGGGAAGCATTGTGAAAGTAGATTTTGGGTGGTTGGATTTGTCTTGTTGGAACAGAGAATGACAGAATGATAAAAGCGATGAAGCGAGTGATGAAGCGAGTGGAATGAAGATATAGTTTTATCTGCTATTGAAGCTGGATGTAATGAACGTAGTTGGTATGTTGTAAAGATAAGAAGAATCTTGAGGGGAGGACGGGTTGGTTTATGAGGGTAGGACTGGGACCATATGTTTGATTGCTCCTTCCAAAGTTCCAAGGTGTTAAATGACAGGAAATGATTCTGATTGGGAAGCGACCCGTTTTGTAGACCCAACCACTCCCTAAGAAGGAAGGGACCATCATGACATCTGTGGAGGACGCTCATATCTATCCCTCACGTACCTCTATCAGCTTTCCTCTGGTTATGAGTGCCCGAATTCACACTAAATCTGGAGTAGCCTGTTTTTGCCTACCTAGCGACTTTCTAACCAGGAAGGAGCAACCAAGATATTCGAACACCACAATGCAGTTAAGCATCCAAGTATTTGGCGAGATAGTTATAAAACCTTCTACTTCGAAGCATTCAGAGAAATGAGAACCCAGCCACTTAGGCGCCAAAACTCACCCATACCACCTGTACCACTAAGTGCTCTCAAAACCCCCAAAACTTCGCTTAACCCATGTTCTCTTCTCTTGCCTCACAGACGAACCCCATTGCAGTACAATTACCGCCCGCTCCCCTTGGAGACATAAGTATAAAACTTTGTGAAACACAAGCAATGTATATATATAGCCCCAATAGCGCAAAGGTCGCTATTTATTACAGAAATAACCACCTGCAACGTGGGACGGTGGGAGTCCACTACCAATTTGTAATTTATAATAATTTTTTTGATTCTTCTTTTGCAAACGTTTTTGAAAATTTAGAAGCCAGGAAGGAGAAAGCAGGATGCATTGGGCACGAACCAGAGGGAGTCTTGATAGCATGAGATGTTCGTCGGATCATGTTTACACTATAGCCAGGGTTCAGGTTAGGGTTAGGGTTAGGGTTGACTGCCCTAAAAGTACCTTATACATGGCCCGAATTGTAAATATTGTATCGGATCACTGTATTAGGAATTCTTTTCGATAAAGAAAATTGATTATCTGCCCAGGTCGGGCAGAGGCAAGATTGGCTTGAGGTTAGGACGATGATGTTGTCCTAGAGCAGGGCACTAAAGATGGTCTGTGGCACCAAAGAAATGAGGGGTCCTGCGCCGCCCGGCAGAAAATAATAATCGAAATCCCATCATCGAGATTTCCATTTTTCCCCATCTCCCCAACCCTCCCACCAAAAAACAAAAGAATAATAATGGCTACTTCAACACCCAAGCCAATTCACAGCCTCGTGCTGGACGCCGGACCAATAATCAAAAACGAGCCCTCCGTCTCCACCCTCCTCGCACAAGCCGAACAACTCTACACCATCCCCGCAGTCATCGAAGAAATTCGAGATCCCGTCACCAGATCGCGCGTCGAGACAACTTTAAAGCCATTCATAATATGTCGCTCGCCGAAACCCGCGAGTATCAAGATTATCACCGATTTTGCCCGAAGGACGGGAGATTTGGAGGTCCTGAGTCGCCCAGATATACATTTGATGGCGTTAAGTTATGAGCTGGAGTGTGAGAGGAATAATGGCGATTGGAGACTGCGCAGTGTGCCGGGACAGAAACGTTTAAATGGTGCTCCTCCTTCTGCGGCGGAGGGGACGAAGGAAGAGATTGCGAAGGTCGCAGATGGGGTTGTTGAGGATTCTAATGCAGAGGTTAAGACGGAACCTGAATTAGCGACAGAGGAGTCGAATGCGAAAGCAGAATCTGTAGAGGTATTGGAAGAGCAGCTCGCTGCCACCAGTATTGTTTCTGCAGATGCTCCCATATCTACCCAGGAAGTCGAAGAACCAAAAGCAGCTAGCGATACAATTCCCAGCGAAGATGCTTCCGCCACCCTTCAAGAGCGCGAAGCCACACCCGAATTAATTGAAGAAGCACAAGGTTCCGCCTCAGAAGATACCGACGACGAAGGCTGGATCACGCCGCAAAACCTCAAGGAACACCAAGCGCGCGACGCAAACGGAATGGCAGAACCAGAGGAAGAAGTAATGATAATGCAAGTCGCAACCATAACCTCCGACTTCGCCATGCAGAATGTCATGCTACGAATGAACTTGAACCTTCTCGCACCCTCTCTCCAGCGAATCCGTCAGCTCAAGACATGGGTTCTTCGATGTCACGCATGTTTCCACATCTCCCGAGATATGACGAAGCAATTCTGCGCACGTTGTGGAAAACCAACACTTATCCGAACATCGTGTTCCACAGACAAAGATGGCAATTTCCAAGTCCATCTCAAGAAAAATATGCAGTGGAATACTCGCGGGAATGTATATAGTATCCCCAAGCCAGTTGCCGGAACCTCAAATGGGAAACTTGTAGCTGGTGGTGGAAAAGGTGGGTGGGGTCAGGGACTGATACTTGCGGAAGATCAGAAGGAGTATGTTCAAGCTACCACTAACGCAAGACGGGGGAAGGAAAAAGATCTCATGGACGAGGACTACCTTCCAAATATCCTATCGGGAGATAGAGGACGTGGAGGTGGTAAAACAAAAGTTGGGGCTGGCAAAAATGTGAACTCAAGGAAGAGAAATAAGTAGATATCTAACACATATCGGAGTTTGGCGCATAAGGAAAGAAAATTGGGATGGAGCATATTACGGGAAACAGATCTCGTTCTGTTCATAGAAGTAGAAAAAACACAATTTACCACAAACAAAATTTGGAAATTCTCATGCGTATTTTCTTGTCCAGGTGAAAAATCAAGTCCCATTCCAACGCCTAAACACAGCGTAGCAGCCGTGGAAAAACGCCATGCCAATTGGTGATACCACACCCACCATGCCACCTTAAGTTTCTCTCCTGCAAGAAGTCTGTTCCCACAGCATATTCAGATTCAGATTGAGAATTCTGGTCCAGATGCGACAATTCCTCCGACCATCACTCCTGATTGTCCACAAGCCCGAGGTTCACAGTAAAGAGCCCTGATTTTCCTCTCGATCGACCGTTCAAATCCCGTCATTCTGTGAATCTGAAATTTGCGAATCTCCCGACATAGACCGACCGACAATATCGCGAACCACCCAAACCCATCTATTGTCCAAGAACAACACGAGACTCTATAAACCAATTAGCCCAATCCCACCATCCCACCATCCCCTTCTTCCCCTCCCTCTTCCATTCCATCTTCCATCACGCCCTTCCCCATCCCAACCTCTCCACCCCATGCGGAATAGAAAAAACTCACTCTGCTGCGTCAAAAGCAATCCATACCGCTTCTTCAACGTCACCCGATGACGACTATACTTATCATCGGGACTGAAGCGCGCCGGGTGCGCGGACTTCGTGACCTCGGCGCCGACGACTTTTTTGAGGGTGTAAATGCGTTTTCCCGCGGCGTCGAGGGTGTACATTAGATGCATGTTTGCGGGTGCGCGAAAGAGAGTCTGGGGGTGAGTGTTAGTTAGGTTGATGAGGGGGACGGAGGGGGACTAGGGAGAGGAGGGCACGTACGAGTTGTTGGGGATTAGGTGGTGGTGGGAATTGGGTGGAGGGCGTGGTGTTGAGGTGTAAGTTGGATTGGATTGCGATTGAGGAAAAAAGTTCGCGGTTTGGTGGATGGCGCTGAGAAGTGCTTGAGCCGATGTGGTGCCGCATTTTGTGCTGATGAAGTGCCGGAGGCGATATGGTGCTGGTGCCAAGAGTAGTGCTAGCAAGTGTAAACTAACCCCGTACTAGGTACTCGTATAAACTTTAACAACCTACCTAAACAACGAAAGAATATAAGAATGGTTTATCTGTAAAAAAAAAAAGAGGCTAACAGATCATTATCTAGTACTACTTAATATTATCTTTATTTTAAAAATAATATTTTTCTTCTATATAAGAATTAATTCTCTTTCTTTTTTCTCTCTACTTTATTACCTATGAGTCTATTTATACAAACTACCCTAGTATTTAAGTAAGCTTATACTACTAACTTTTATAGTAGTTAATAAGTTATCGAAACAAATCTTCTTATTAACTATATTTACTTATATTATATAATTAGAATCTTATTTTCTCACATTATATGTCACAAATCACGTGCTAGCACGTGAGGAGTTAGTCCAGACGGGGTTCTGACAGGACAAACACATCATGGCTCTTATAGCAAAAAGGGATCGCTTAGGTTAGTTTAGCGATCCAGGAATTTCTTTGTATACAAGTCACGTGATATATGCAGGTCGACTTCTCGCCTGGTCGAGAAGTCGATTATCGACTATGTCGACAATCGACATTGTCGACTTCAGGAACACGAAGGTTCTATATAAGACTGGCACGTCTGCCATTAGATAGGAGCTTCGTGCTCAACTTAGTTATCAATCTTATCATATTAGTTTGACATCTTTGATACAAGTAACGAGTTCACTTCCAAGTGAACAACCCGATAGTCTTCTTCTTATCATAGCATACCAACCAGCGAACACCCAGCCAAGTTTAGTTAGCCAGTTTGAGTATTCGTTACACTTACCTTAATAATAACCTATAGTGACGATTAATATTATTTATTATATAAGTTCGGCTAGTTTACTATAAGTATATATATATAAAATTTAGCCGAAAAGAGTATATTATTATTTTAATATTAGTTTACTACTATTAATTCGTAAAACGCCGGGTTAGTAGTACGCCGGTATAGTAGTACTAACCTTTTTTATAAGTAGGTAAAAAAGTCGGAAAAAAAGATCAATCTAAAAATGCTAAATCTTCTAATTAGTCGACTAAATGCTTAATAATCACACCTTACTATACTTAAGTAAACACTTTACTCTTATATACTCCGAAGCTAACCCTCTAGGAACTCGGTATTAGATATTTCCTAATACTATACGGAAATTCCTAATATAGGTCTAATTAGGTAGTTAAAAGTAGGGATTTGAGAATAGAGGGGTACTCTAAAGACTATTATACTTCTAAGAGAGTTTAAGCGTAACTCGAGCATTCTATAAGCTATTTATCTATATTATAGAGCCTTTCACCCTCTCTTTCCCTCTATAAACTACCTATAAGTACTTAGTCGTTTTTACTTATCCCTCTTCCTCCCTACCTCTATAAGTACTTAGTCGTTTTCACTTACCCCCCTCTCCCTCCCTACCTTTGTAAGTACTTTCCTACTTTACCGTCCTATAAGTTTCTACTTCTATTATACCCCTATACCCCCCCTCTCTCCCCCTCCCCTGCCTATAAATAAGTAAACGCGTAAATAAGACTTAAGTAAAGAACTATACCTTTAGTATAAATTAAGGTTTAATAGCTACTGTTAGTATTAGGAAAAGTGCGTGTTAGGGAAGGTTTTGTACCCTAGGACGGCCTGAGCGGGTGTTAGGTATTTCCTGACGTAGTTCCCAGAGGGTAACAAGTAACATATTATATTTTGAAACTAGATATTAATTAATAGAAAGATATATTATTAAAACCATCTAAATTAGAAATATACTCTCTTGGCAAATACCGTAACCGAGCACCTATCTAAAATAAAAACCAAGGAACTTAAATACATTATACATGTCTATCTACATGAGAACCGCCAAGTATCTCCTCTTTCAGTCCCAGTAAATACCTAACATATTCAATCTATCCATCTACCCTGAACAATAGACAATATAAACTACCAATTAAAGTTACAATTTATATCAAAACATTAACCTTTTCGTTCAATCAACCAAATAGTAACAGGCTTCTCAAACTCCCCGCTCCCAGGATTAACAGATCATGGAACAATTTCATCAACACCATCGATTCTAACCCCCACGCTGGTATTCGTAAGAATAGCAATTTCTTTCATAAAACGCTAGCAGAAGCAGATAAAAACAATTCTGAGCTAGTATAAACATCTTGGTTTCTCTGTGTATCGCAGTAATTCAAATAACAGTAATGACTCCAACAGGGACCAACCCCGAACCCAGGATTCGTGAAAATAGCAAATTGTTCCATAACAGTAGAAGTAGCTACAAATAAGTCTGAGCTAGCAAAGATGTTTCGCATTGACTGAAAGCCAAGGCGAAGGTGGTTTCGACTAAATGCGGCTTCGTAACCGTAGCATGTTGATGACGACCCAATCTTGGATTTTTATCGAGAGTTTGGGTTGGTTCCCATGAGTATACCAATCTGTGAAGTTGGTCGCGGTGGCAAGTATAGCATCAATTTTCTTGGCTAATCCTTTTTTTCAAACCTTGGATACTGTCGATAGGCTAGCTTGTGAAGCGAGTCTAGTCGTCGTCGTCGTCGTATTTCTGGTGGATCCGTGCCCTGATACCTTCAAAAGAATAGACTCCACGACGTGATCTAGGTATCACTCGACGAAAAAGGTGGAGGCTGGCTGTACTGTCGCTGTCGCTGTCGATAAATGAAGCTTTTGAGACTGAGATAAACGACGACTGAGTCTGACAAATCCGAGCCACGTATTTGTACCTCATTCCTTGTCGTAATCAGACAGTAAAATCCCTTGAGGCTCTGAGATATATAGCAACCACAGATAAGGATATCACGAGTTCTCTTCTCCTTGAGGCTCACGAGGTTGAGCAACCAATTTTCAGGTTCAAAATGTAGGTTCTACCAAGGAATGAATGTGGGGCGCCTCCTCTATCTCCCTTTAGAAAATACCACAATGCATCGGAACAAGCGATCAATGTCTATCCGAGGAGCATATAAAATCAGATACACGTGTGTGGCATTTCCCACCGTTCAGGAAGATACGACCGATACCGGTCCGCTATTATGTTAGATGTACAAGCACAAACCGGAATCCCTTCAATGTCGAAATGGTTATGTACCTGCTCGGGCTGGTTAAAGCAAATCTCGCATCGATTGATGCTGAACATGGAGAACCCCCACACGACCAGAATACTGGTGCAAAGCGCCCCATAAGCAATAGGATCCAGACCAGTTTTATCGAATTCCGAATCTTCGGTTAGGCTTTTGTGTAATATTAGGATCTCTTTGGCGTGTATCAAGGCAGATTGGGCCCCGGGAGAATTCGCCCAAGAAGTTGTCGATTTTGCTCGTTTGTCTTGTAGGTTTTTGTGTCTGTCATTGAGCTCGACGTTGGTTGTGGGATTGAAGTCTCTGGCTGTTTGGCGAATGGAGTGGAGATCGGAGTCGAGGTGGATGCTGAGGATATGGTAGAGTAATAGAGAGTCAAATATCAGAGTCTTTGCTCGGCGGATGATCGAATTTGCCCAATCTAGATCAGAATGATCTTCGAACCCACGATAGAAGCGAAGAAGTGGTTGCTGGTCCTCGTCTGCACTGGTGATATTGAATCCTAGTGCTACCATCTGATCGAGTCGCATTTTGAGCCTGTCCAATTCGATCCTCCAGGTTTCGCGTAATACCTCTAAGGAGGCTCGTAGCTCGACAGAACCATGGTATAATTGTCGAATTTTGTGATACATACCCTGCATACAAAGCTGTACATCTTCGATTAAGATGCCACAAGAGGTGATATCGGGATTCGTGGTCAATTCCCTCACCATATCTGATATCGAAGCGAAAGGCCTGGACGGCGACTCAAATTGTAGACGATTTTCCCATATATGAAGGCCATCGGCATTCCATAGCGCGAACGAGCCCTGTGGTTCAAAGTGAAGGTCATCTAATGTTAGTAGTAGTGGCTGGTCACGAAGCATACTGAGGTAGCAGTCGAGCTTGAATATGTATGTTGCAAGTCTGGATACTGTTAGGTGATGATGGTCAGGCTTAATGTATGCATGTACTCACCGAGATCTTACACCAACTCTGACTACGTGCATTGGGAGAAAGTATCCTGGCCTGTCATCATCCATCACTGTTTCTGGCTTGAAGAATCCCGCTTCTCGAAGCGCTGTGACCAAGAGGTTGAACAAAAATATTGCTTTGGAAACCGTTCTTTCAGCCTACGGGTATGAGATTAGCAGCTATCAGAATAACCGGCATTTTTCAAGGCCACTGAAATTGGAGCATAACATACGCCAGCATGAAAGGTAAATATCACACTCAACAACGCTGCTTGACATAATTGACTAGGCAAACCTCCATGAAACCGATCAACGGATGATTTTTGGGTCTGCCAAGTTATCACATTAGTAATGTTTACTTTGCAAATAAGAGTTACCTACCAGCATGGATGGTAGTATCCGAATCAAATAGCCCTGCATCGCCAGAGCATAGAGCTTTGACGCTGCTGTTCCGAATAGCCATGCTCCATTCATCTTCATTGCACAGTTCAAAATCACACTTTCATTTTCATCCGCGTGGCTCGGCCGATGGATGATTGGCCAACGATGATGGAAGGATGTGTAGTAAGCGTTCATGTATTTTTGCTCAAGATCCGAAGGACAAAACGGAGGACTAAGAATATCCACATCGTCGCTCCTTTGGCTCTTGACGGGGCTCAAAATTGGGTCCTTCTGAATCTTTATATTCATCCAGTCTACAACACTTAGTTTCGAAAATGGATTGTGTATGGGAGACTCCTTGAGCAACACGGTACCGGCCATTGGATCCATCGGTGTCTCGTACATGTTCATCCCAACATGATTGGGATAGAAGATTTGTTCATCATGCTGCTGAATGACGACAGTATCATTCATGTAGTTATCGTTTTCCGAGGTCCTTGTATTCTCACCCGCGGGGCTTTGCCTATTATAATTGCAATCAATGCCCTTTGAAGCACATTTTGCACATGGCTGGTTGCCATCACATTTGATCTTGCCTTTGTGGCACGTGATGCATGCTCTCTTGCTTCGACCTGAAGGGGTTGGCTTATACTCATCTCCATGACGGAGGATGTGCCGTTGAAGACTATCGCTGTTGAATAGTCAGCATTCTGAGTTTTGTAAAGAGAGGGGCAAGTGAGCGGGTAAGGGTTATCTCCAAGACATGTTATTTACCTTCGGTTGAACTTTTGTTGGCACACTGTACATATGAAGAGCGATTCAGCAGGGATGTGTGTACGCTCATGCCTATTCAGGTGCTCTTTCCGGGCAAAATTCTTTTCACACCCATCAAACTTGCAGTACCATCGTGTACTGTTTTCAGTGGTTGGATCTGGAGGAGCCTCCATAATTGGGGCGTTGTGAAGCTCTACCGTACGAGTAGTTGTGGCTAGAAGCCGCTTTAGGAAAACCGACAAGTGCAGGTGGAGACACTTAATGCGGGCCGAGTGGGCTTGTAGAGCGTAAATAGAGAAGGAACAGTGGGATTTTTTGGTATAGGTAGACCACCGTCACATTCGAAGCCGACGTCACTTCCGTATCGAGGCCAAATATTGCTACGAAGTATCAATTCAACGTCTCAAAGGCAAGTAAACGATGCAAGACAATAATAAGGAGCCGGGTGGGATTAATGGGAGGGCCGGTCGGCGGTGGGAGTTGATGTGGAATAAGGGGGGGGCCGCAGTGACCGCAGCTGAAGGGGAGAAGGGGAGGCGGTGGGAGCCGAGACGTTTGACAATCGTGACATTTGTGGGTCTGTTTCAGCATCCACCTCAGCCTTTCCCGCTTCAGGCACCCAATCAGCGTGCACCACCATGCGTCCACCACGTCTACTCACTAGTGAGTGTACGGTAGTCTCCTTCACCATTTCTGTCTCTCGTCTTGGCGTCAGCCAAGCAGCAAAATCCCTCCCACCGGCATCCATCAGATAGAGTGTATTGTAGGTGGTGAACGTTGTGCGAACCACCTCAACAGAGTACACGTTGTGCAAAGAACAAGTGAGCTGAGCTGAGCATCTTCCGACTCCCGCTACTGCGGTACTGCGGAGGTTTCTCAAAATCCATCAGGCAATGCTTGAGTAATCCGTGCTGGACGACCATGGAGGGGTTTGTTTGTCATTCGTGGTGGGGCTTTTGCTTGCCCCTCATTGAGCTTAATGTGTTGAATCCAATATATAATTCAAAGTTGGCTGTTCACTCTCCCAAGATATTCGTACTTCCATAGACTAGTACCAACTCTCTTCTTCAACAACTTACTTCTGACTTCAAAGAACTTGGCAGCAATCCCCAATATCTATCAAACTTACACTGGAACACCCTCGTAATATCACCCGTCAATATGGTTGAGATCAAGAATGTCGTCCATGTGGGAGTAAGTAACTCTACGCCTCATCTCATATCATCGCAGAGTCCGGGCGCTGACAATTGCAGGCTGCTGGTTCCCTCGGAGCCCCTATCCTGACTGCTCTCATCGAGTCTGGCAAATTCAACGTCACTGTTCTCACCCGCGAAAACTCCAAATCCACCTTCCCCTCATCAGTCAAGGTCGTCAAGGCTGACTACTCTGTATGCCAATTCTCTCTCAATGCTCCCCGCCAGCCAAACCTAACATTCCGTAGTCTGTTGAATCCGTTACTGCCGCTTTCAAGGGACAAGATGCCGTCGTCTCTTCCGTAGGAACGGAGGGTCTGCTCGGACAAAGTCTATTCGTCGATGCCGCCATAGCTGCCGGCGTCAAGCGGTTTATTCCTTCCGAGTTCGGATCTAACCTCGCAAACCCACTTACCGCTGCCCTCCCAATTTTCGGCTACAAGATTGCAACCCGCAAGCACATTGAAGCTAAAGTTGCCGGCGGTGCTGATATCACATACACATATATCCAAAATGGACCCTTCCTGGACTGGGGTCTCCAAATGAACTTCCTCGTCGACTTGAGAAGTGGAAGCCCAAAGATCTTCGATGGTGGTGACCAGAAAGTCAGTGCTACCACATTGGCATCGATTGGAACAGCCGTTGTCGGAGTTCTCTCACACTACGAGGAGACCAAGAACCGAGACGTCTATATTCAGGATATTGCCATCTCACAAAACCGCATCGTTGAGATTGCCAAGAAGGTCAAGCCTGAAAAGGCTCAAGGGCCAGTTCAAGTTAAGACGGCCGATACGAAGGCTGCCTCAGATGCCGCGCTCGCAAAGGGTGATTACAGTGAAGGAACTATGATCCCATATCTCTTCACAGCCATCTTTGCTGAGGGATACGGTAACCTTTACCCCAAGCTGGACAACGAGCTTGTGGGACTCAAGCCATACACTGAAGCTGATGTCGAGGCACTCGTCAAGAGTGTCTTGGCTTAGGTGGAAAATGTAATGTAATAAAAAAAAGGGTTTGCTTTTGGGCATGAAATAGATAGCGTTGAATTGAAGGCTCTATCCCTACTCAGCTCTCTTGGGCATAAAGTTGTGATCTGTCGTGATTCGTAAACATGTGCTAGCTCGCGAGATAACAAGTACCACCTAATTTTGAAGAGCGCCCTGTTTTATAGTCACGTGTCTCATTCAATTGAAAACCGAACTGGGGCCTTGTCTCCGTTGGTGTCCTATATAATGTTTATGTTATGTACTCGAGTAGTAAGCTATTTCAAAAACAAATTTGGGTCCATGGATTACTAGATTTTACATAGCCCAGTATGTCCACGTGACTTGGCCCACATAAGTCTGTACTAGATTTTCCTTTGAGTCCTTTCTTCGTTTCTTAATAGAAAGACTATGTTAGTTACTAAATAGAAGAACATTATAAGAAATATTTAAAGAGGAATTCTAAAACTAATATAGTTCTCTAGCAGTAGTATTACTAATTATTAGAATCTATATACAATTTATAGATTCTATTATCTCGAATTATTTAAGTAATAAAGTCAAGTAAATAGTCTTTGATTAAACGTAAGGATTAACTTAGAAAGGTACTTAACTATATAAATACTTTATGATGTTAATTTATAAGAGAGAATATTATAAGAGAGAAGTTAATTACATAATTACTCTTACGTTTCTCTTATGGTTTAATTTTATTACTTAATTTAGTTTGTCTACGTAAAATATTTATCTTCGAAATAAAAAATTATCAAATTTCTTCCGCAGATTTCCCACTCCCTTTGATAAGCAACATTAAATTATTGATATTATTGGCCTGTAGTATTTCCCGGTACTGCATATGCAATGCTACCTACGGAAAGGGGCGATCTTTCCTCATTCCCCGTACACAATGATATTATCCATGGCGCAGGCAAAACCCCTCTTTCAATTCTGTTTTGATGGCATCGAAGAATCGGCGTGAGCATTATTAAAAAATACATACTATTTCTCACTAATATGGATAATGTCATGAGGTTGTTCATCGTTCTCACGCTTTGGTGCTTCATCCTTCCCTCGGCAGCTTATGCCGTCGGTCGCCCTGTCAAAACTTCAAGTGGGGTGGTAATCGGCCATGTATCAAGAAATCGAACTCAAGTGTCGGAATATCTTGGAATCAGATACGCTCAAGCACCTGTTGCAAGCTTAAGATTTGAACCTCCTTTGCCTTATTTATCGAGAACAGTGTTCAATGCTTCAAATTATGTGAGTTTTGCTTAGCAAATTCTTTCCCCCAATGAAACAACTGATCTAATCCAAATCCGGCAGTCAGTGTAAGTTTTTTACTTGGAGTTGTATAGATGGATTTTCTAAGTATTTCAAAGTGATTGTCCAAGTAATCCCTCGGCTCCGGTAGCATACCCGAACAAAACCGCAAATTTCGATCGCGTGTTTGCTCTGTTTACAGGCGGAGAACACAAGCCACAGGGGGAAGATTGTCTCAAATTGAACATATGGGCGAAGTCCAATGACCTCAAGCTTAAGGCGGTGCTGGTCTGGTTTCATGGAGGAAGTGAGTATTCTTAAGCGATCTCTTCATTGTTTAAGCTGACATCATTCGAGGGTTTACACTCGGTAGTGCAAATAGCCCCTTCTTCCACGGGCAGTATATGGCGGATACGGAGGATGTTATTGTGGTAACTATAAAGTGCGTTCATCTCGTAGCGAAAAAGTCTGTTCTGATTATATCATCTAGCTACCGAATCAATATCTTTGAGTTTTCTGGTGCACCGGGTCTCACTCAAAATGTTGGATTGCTTGATCAGCGACTTGCATTAGAGTGGCTTCGTGATAATATATCCGGCTTTGGCGGCGATCCCACTAAGATGACAATATTCGGCCAATCCGCAGGAGGAGTTGCAGTTGACTACCATTCTTACGCATGGAAATCAGATCCAATTGTCGCAGGATTGATATCCCATTCGGGAACAGCAGCAAGCTTCGAGCCAAGCACTCCCGCAATCGAGACCAAACACTTCAATGCCGCTTCGGGACTTCTTGGCTGTGGAACCGGTGAAGCTGCGGTTCCATGCATGAAAGCACAAAATATTACGGCTATACTAGCAGCTGTTGCAAAAGTTCCGGTTGAAGCTACCGGAGCACGACCACCGCCGCCATTCCAACCAACCGTTGACAACATCACTGTGTTTTCAATCTCAGGGTACGAAGAATTAGCAAAAGCAGGAGAATTCGCAAAACTTCCGTACCTTGCTGGCAATACCAACAACGAGCCAGGGTTTTACAAAATTGGAGCTTTTGCGCAAGGATCGAATCTCACAGATGCGCAATGGGAATTATTTGAGCTAGAAAATTTCACTTGTGCTACCGCTATAGAGACTGCTCATCGTGCTGCATTTTCCGTACCTACGTGGAGATACAGATATTTTGGGGATTGGTCTAATCTGCGTCTGTGCCCTGGAAGTGGAGCATATCATGGAAGTGATATCGAGATGGTTCTGGGAACGGCTCAGGATGTTTCACTGATTGTGAACTCAGACATCGAAGAAATTACCAGCAGGTATATGATGAGAGCTTGGGCAGCTTTCGCCAAAAACCCAAAGAGTGGCTCGTCAGATTATGGATGGCCATTGTACGAAAACTCGAGTGAGGAAACGTTGGTGAGGCTGGGGTATAACAATGAGACCACGGCTTCGTTTGTGTCTCCCCAAGAATATGATTCACGAAGTCCAGATTTAAAGGGAAAAGTTAGCGATGGGGTAGGGGCTTTTTAGTGTGAAGTATCCATAGTAAAGCTATTGACTCTCCCACATACACACCTTTGCAGCCGGAATTCCATTGCTGATGGACAAACTAGCACTTACCCCGATCATTCTTCCTTCATGCAAATAAGCATCGAAAACCAAAGCTTTCTCATCGCTATGATTACCGAAAACAGCAATCTTTCGCATATCCCAGCTCCTTCCATCCCAACCTTCCGTTTCTTGACCCTGTGAACATTGAGCTGCCACAAGAGTAGGCCCAACCCCAAGACAACCGACGACAAAAGTATAGTTCCGAGGTTTGATCCATGGACCAGAACTTATGCTTTCCCCGAAATCGTCGGCGTCAAATGGTTCGTCATCATCCCCATCTTGATGAAAATTCTCTTTTTCCTCCTCCTCCATCTCCATTTCATCGTCATCGGTATCGATATCTGCTTCTCCTACTTCAATTTGTCTTGCGAGTTCGATATCCTCAAGCTCATTTCTTAAAATTCTGTCTTCCAAGTCTTCGTCTGGAACATGTGGCTGTTTGAACAACTTCACTCCCCTTGTGCCTCGACTATCATTCACTTGAAGTGTGCTAAGAGCGCCTCCACGTTGACCCCCGTTGGTAAACAAATCCACAATCTTCACCGTGCCATCACGACCAGAAGTGACAACAATATCTCTTCCCTCCATTCGACCAGGTACCATCAAGTTTGCAATACCAGTGATTCCCATACCACCATGAACATTTCTTGGAGGCTCATCACAATTTCTTTCTTTATTGGTGAGAAAGTCCTGACTAGTAGTCCACGAAATGTTTCTGACATATCCATCATCACCAACAGTGTAGAGACCCTGTCCACCGCTAGTACTGACTTCTCTTCCGGGTCCAGGTAGTGGTGTCCACGCAGTAGCCCAGGCTGGATGGGGATGGTGTGATGGCATGAGCCCCTCCTCGTTTCGCAAACACGCTTCTACGGGTCTGAGTTGAGATCGAGGAATTCTGAGAAGGTGAACCCCTCCCAGACTAGTTGTGCAAACGAGATTTGACAACAGAGTTGGATGGTATTGGATTGAAGTAATTGCCGTGGTCGGAGGAAAGAAAGCAAACTCTTGAGATGGTTGAAGTGATAATCGTCCGTTGGATATATGGATATCGTATGTTCTCACATGGCCATCCAGTGAACCAGTGACTATTTTTGATGCAGAGACATGGAGTGATAGGACCCCGGATGGCGTAGGTAAAGATTGGACTATCGTTCTTGAAGATCATGAGTATTTGTTATTGCTTCATGCAGAGGACTCTCACATTCCATCCAATTGTGGCGATATCTTGAATAATGTCAATAATCCAGTGCCTGTTGCTGAAAGTGTGACAGCATCAAGTGGATCTATGGTCGGATCGCTCCATGCGAGGGAGCTAATAACGAAGTGGTCTGGTGAAATGGCTATGAATGAAAGAAATGTTGGTGCTTGATTCGGTATCGCTAAAGTGACGGCCATTGTTTCGTTTCTTCTCCTTGAATTCGATATGGTTGTCATCCCGATGTGGTGGGCGGTTAATGATGGAAAAATTGGCAAGCAAAAATATGTCTCCACTTTTGGGCCCATTAAGGTGCTCTGATTCGCTGTAGATGCTCACTGATATTCAATTGACTTCATTGTCACTCGATTGGTCGGTTTTATGGACATCTTAGTCTCAGGTAATACTAGTGAAAAGGACGGCCACAAATTATCCGCCAATATCAGCTTCGCTGATTTATTTGACTGAGACTACCAATAAGGAGTTATATTGTCAAGAACTTTGGCTTTCTGAAAGTTCGTTTTTGTAGTAATCTATATTTATTCACTTAGACGTAGACTTGCACTTTATCTCCAATACTGGGACTCACACTTATAAAGTAAAAAATAGAATATAACTACGGAATACCAACCGAAACTCAGCCGATTTCTGTGATGATATCTTCCGCACTTAAAGCGAGGCATGTGTAATATTGGAACCGTGCAAGTCGAAAGGAAATACAGCGAGTAAAAAAATCCTCAGAATGGTTCAATCATGAACTTTTCCCAAAAATGTCGTTTCAGCGCATCTTTGAAAACTTTGAGTCGATTTGTTACACTGTATCCTTTGTCAATCTTTCTTTGACATTCTCAACAAGCTCTGCCTATCTTTTCTAGGCCTATGTACGCCTCTCCGCACCTTGCTTTTTGTTTTATTTATCGCCTGGCTGTTATAACAAAATCTCTTCATTTATACCCATCCGGTATACTTACAGATCTTCCACCCTCCCATCGCATTGCTACATCAAAATTCCCATGAATTTGTCCTAGACCTTCAGATTTCGAAATTTACTGAAGCCTTATCATTCAATCTGCAATCCCATTGATGAAGACAGCTATCTCGTATACGACAGTCAATGGCCACATTTCGAGGTTGTATTGCCTCTGGTGGAGCGGAAACTCCCCGATTTGTATTATTGTTCCTAAGGGCCTCTTTTTATATGGCGCATATCAAAAACATGTGCGAGCCAAACAGGCCCTAAGTATGCATGATATAAAATAAGATTTCAAGAGCTTTTGGAATCTCTTCTCAGCATGGTTTTTGTAGAAAGAAGTGGGAAGTGGGAAGTTCATACTTCGCCAGAACTACTGTGGTTTCCGAACAACGATAACAAGGCGGGGCCGGTTTATTGCATTTAATTTAGTGCATCTTTCTATTGATTTGAAATCATTATACAAAAGCCACAACATTCACCTTTACATTCAATGATTGATTGTATAAATCGTTCTTAGAATTAAAATATTATCTCTAATAAACTTTAACGTTTATTAAATATAGAAGGAGCAATGGTACGTGAAGTTTGAAAGTCTTTGATACTACAAACCACAATCATATTATTAGTTTTGGCCAATTGCGGCCAAGCTCGCGATTCCTGTTTACGTATTCATATTTCAATACTGTACCCCAGCCCGGTCATGCATCATACTGTACGAAGTCATCATATAGCAACGAAACTTTGTAGGGGACTTTAAACCCCAACCAGTGAGAATGCGTAACAAGCAGATATTGACCTTCTGATGTTTGGCTGGGGTCATCTAAGCAAGGTGAGAATACGTGGGAGCTCTTGTGGTACTAACTTATTAGAAATATTATTGGAAGTAGTTCTTTTCAAATTGTCCAAGGCTGTATGCCAAAGAAAATAACCAGACTCCGGCACGTGTATTTCAAGGAAATTACAGGATCATGCCCTGGAAGATCTATAATTTTCGTTTGTGTATCGGCTGGATGAGCCAGAGATTTCTGGTGGCGTACTGTACTGTATCATGTGATTGGCATTCCCGCCGAGGTCACATCTTGGCAAGGTTACACAGGAAGTATGACTTTTTTCCAAAGTACAGCCATGTCACAGAGTCTAGTGAACCAGACATTTGCAATGCAGACCAACAGATATGCTGAGGCTAGTTCTGGCGATTGCTACAACTTTCTCCAGAGAGGTAAAAGTATGCTGAGAAACCTCTTGACGGTATACTGTTAACGCACGTAAACAGATGGTGGGGAGTGCCGAACAGGGAAGATTTCTGTTCCAGAATTATGTGCCAAGGTGGGAAGTTCAGACCTACTTTAGGATTCAATATTTACAAATATTCAAGGAGCAATTGCCTGGGGAAGTACTAGTCATGTACGTTTTATCTTAATAACGAGGGAAGGAGAGCTGAATCAATAGTTATCTACCAGAGCCAGGAACAAATCTTGGGCAAGCAGTCATAGCACAGCTCTCCAGACGTCTTAGAATCCCCCCTATTTTCTGGACCTCGGTTGCAGATCAAGCGAGTGGGTTCTTTGGATGCCAGCAAGGAACGGGGGTAAACGATGAGTTAACATCTTTCGGTATGTAAGATTACTCAACCATCTTAACTCGTTCTAACTTTCAAACAGACACATACTTCCGTTTTCTGATCAAAGAGCCGAATGCTTCTCACATCTCGCCGCCATATACCTGGCATAAGATTGGGCTTCACGTAGCTTGGACGCCGGAGAAAGGCATCTTTATTTTGTGCCGCGGGATGCCGCCCTCGTTAGAGAGCTCGCTCACTGATGAATTGAAAATAGTGGGACTAACAAGTATACTAAATGACCCTTTTGGATTCCATGTCATTCTTCTTGAGCAGCTGATAGCCTTCTACGACTCGACTTTATGGTCGTGGCGTGATCTTGTCAGAAACTTGGAAAAGGTATGCGTTCGGAATATTTTTTTCCTATATATACACACTAATTTCTGCAGAACCGCCCAAGGCTTGACAATCCTCAACCTGATTTTACTAAAATTCATGAACTTTCACGACACGCTATTCATTCCTCAGAAACACTTGCAATTGCAATCGAGACATTAGAGGGCCTTGTTTATGAACACGATATGTTCTTCAGAGAAAACATAACATTACCCCAAAAATCAATCAAGACTTTCCCCCAAACGAGAAGGACGTTTCGATCGCAATTGTCAATGTTGAAATGTCTTCATCTGAGATCGAAGGCACTCGAAGATAGACTTCGAAATGAAACCAACCTGGTTGAATCCCCTATCCGTTCCACGAATAAGCTCGAACTAACCGTTCATAGGCATTCAATGTAGTTGCACAGTACAACAGTCACATTTCTGTTCGTATTGGGGATGCTACCCGAGCTGATAGTGCGGCAATGAAGACCATAGCGGTATTGGGCCTAGTTTTTCTGCCCGGTACATTTATTTGTGTTGGTTTCCCAAAATCCATTACAGTATGTTCGCTTTTTTAAGCTCTTCTAATAATACATAGGCCTTGTTTAGCACAAGCTTTTTCAACTTCTCTCCGGGTAGTGGCAGCGACCCCCAAATGTGGGTTGTCTCTGAGAAATTCTGGGTTTACTGGGTGGTAGCTGTGCCTGTGACTGTGATAACAGTGTTATCTTGGAACTTCACCCAAAATGCGCGTGCAGAGCACTTGTGAAGACGTCATTGGCTTTCTCATTATCTTTTGTCAGAGCTGTCTGATCATAATTTTTTATTGCGCCGGGCAAATAAATTTCTTCTCGTTATATGTTATAATATATTCTATTCACTAATTTTGGAACGAAAAAGTTCTTTCACTGAGATAGCTAAGCGAGGACGCGATTGACTGTTTTCGGACTTTGTAAACTTAGAAATAATGCCACAAATTATATATACGATTATTACTTAATACCCCCACTTAATCTACTATTGCATCGGTTCTACTTCCAACCCCACACATTACTTCCCAATACTGGTAAGAAGATATGTGTGAATTTGCGAATGAATTAATCATGTATATCTCGGAAGAAAATGGACAGAGAGGCACGAGGTTGTCAAGAGCGAAGATAGGATGTTCTAACGGAGACTTTGTGTATCTATACCAATTTAATCTAAATAATCTTACGATAGAAGTAGCATACTGGTTGTGTCACTTGCGATATCAGCAGGCACCGTGATACTTGTATGTCCCATCGAAATCTTCGCATATATCTTTATCAGCAACGCACAGTCTGTTAAAACAAGCATACGCGAATAAGCACCAAATATCTTATATCGCTAGAGTTCTCTAGTCAAGGCAAAGGTTTACAGGGCCCAAAAGCCAAGCTACCGCATCAAAAACGGCTAAATATATGCTTGGAAAGTTTTAGAAACCTCGTTCAGATCGGATTTTGAACTGACTAACGGTGAACAAAATGCAGTAGTTCATGATGACAATTTGCGTGCGTATGACGACTATATATTTATTAAAACGTTGTCTAATAAAACTTCTACTCTGTATCTACATGCCAGATGATATATTTTGAAGGATGTCTTTTGCAAAAGCTGCCGCTGTTGCAGCAGCATAGTGCTGCCATGTGTCGTTTTTGTGTGAATCCGAATAGTCGCATATCCCTCTTATTACCAAGCTTGGAAAGATATGCATTACTCCTGCTGCCTCCATCTCAAAGCACAATATACCATCACAACTTTTGCTAATTTCATCCCATACTACTCCATCTTTGACCACCACGTCGCCAGAGCCAATGGTACCGTAATTTACTTTAACATTGTCCACCGGCCATTCCTCTCGCTTTACCAAGCGGGTCCCATCGCAATTCCGACATGTTTCCTCGCCTATCTTGTGGGGATAGTCGGCAACATACAAAAGATCCTCTCCACGTCCAGGACTCTTGAAGTTGGGTAATTTGTTTATCAAAGAATTAATAAAAGTGGAATGAGAGTCCGAGTGACCGTCACTTAACCCCGAAAACCGTTGCGCAGCCTCGAGAGTGACTTTTGGGGCAGGTCATAACTAGGCCCCAGAAGTTGAAATTCATTCCCAGGGAGGATTTTTCCACGATTCCAAGCTACCACGCCCCCGAATCTGTTCCCAGGGAAACTAACAACTACGTCTCCAAGTCGGATATCTGAAGCTGTCGAGGGAGCACCACCACCAACTCCGACAAGCAATCCAAGCTTTAGGTGTCTGAAGGTGTGTAGCATATGAGCGACAGTCGAAGTAGCGGAAGCAATACTAACCCACCCTTTGGCAAGACAAACAATGACAATGTTGTGTTGACCAATCCTTCCCAGGGCGTATACATTTGGATCTACGCTATCTCCTTTGAAACTGCCATGTTTCTCGTCAAGCATCTCAGTCGCAGCCTCAAACTCGACAGTGAGCGTACAGATCCAGGCTACTGGATAGTCTGATGGCGTCGGGAAGGTTTGTAATGACAGGTGCGGCAGAGGTTTTATATACTCCTTTCCATCTGTTGTGAGGGCCATTTCGCTGAGTGTCATGGTGGATCAAGCCGAGGCTTTTGTATAAAACGTAAGGTTAAGATAATTTGGGCCCCGATGACTGATTGTGAGAAGCTTGAGGCTAAAAGGGCTGGTTGCACATATTATGTAATGATGTAGCCTGTATGTGCATTACGGAACGCACTTGGGCTACTTTCATACTATATGGTCACTACTATGACAATTGATCCTCAACTGACGTAGAGCAGTCATAAAACAAGATATGTTTGAAACCAGATACTGACTGACTATGGCCTTTACCTTATTTTTCGCCTTATTATTCACCATTTACTACCACAGCAGCTTCGTATTATAATCCCAATTATTCTGGTTGCTCAAGACCACTCTTCTAAGGCGCTGCTGCTGTTGTTGTAGCTGTCGCTGTCACCCTCTCGCGGTTATTTATATAAGGAGATTATGCCTTAGCAGGCTAGTTGAGAAGGTGGTGCACCCGTGATTGTAGCTGATTCACAAAACTGCGAGTATAGATGCTAATTTCAAGAAAGGGTCCCGTACAGGACTAGCGCTCCCGTCCGAGGGTGACACTGGTGACACAAAGAGTCGCGATCGCGACAGCGCCTTGTACTCCTGTCGCCCCCTCTCTCCTTCAATGTTTGCGGTTCTTGAAAGGAAGCAAAGCAAATACAACTAGTAGCAAGTGCGAGTGAGGTAAGTAATAGCCCGGGGGAAGGATATGGAGGTTGAATATGACTTCCACGAATTAGCCAACGGGCACTCTATGGCGAACAACAGTCTAACTTTTGGTTTGCTGGAATTAGGTGATAATGAGGTTCGATTGGCGAGTATCAAGGGGCGGCGCTCTTGTCCGCTCCAGTCTACTTCGCACTGCATATTGCTTTCCTGTATTCCGTCAGGTTGGCTACAGCGCCCCCTTTAAAAGAGTGCTACTCCAGTTTTGACTTCAACTTTTTATCCTCAATCCAAACGATTGTCACTATTAGGAATCGTAAAACTTGCTTCGAAATCCGCTTTGGTGATCGTATTCGATACGGACTAGCCTTCTTGAGATGTCGAACGAACTGACCTCCGTACACGTAACGGTCATTGACAGAGACAAGGCTGAAGGTATCACAGATTCATAATATTTCTAGATTTACAAGAACATTACCCTTATGCCCAAGCGCTTACCAAAATGCAGATACTTCAGCATGGCGAATACGAGAGAATGTTGCGTTCAACATTGAGGTAGGTCTCCGGAGCTTTCCATGTTCATGTCCGATTCTTCATATCATGTTTGCTCATTCCTACAGGAGAACTCAGCAGACTTGAGGTTTATGTAGGTATTTTCTCACTGAGCTTCGTGTGTTCTGACAAGTCCAGAATCTTCACATCGTCACTGGATGCCAACCTTAAAATGGTTCTGCAGACGCGATACAAAGTTCCGGGGGTTCGATTTACCGAGTCCCAGCAAAGACATATATATTCATCTTCGCTCCAATCAAAAATCCCAGACTCATGGTACTGGAAGGAGTGAGTGAGGGGCTTTTAGGCCTCAAGTTACTTTTAAATGACCCCACAGTAAACCCTGATACTTGCATACCTCTGGGAGTCGAGTTTCAGTTCAAACCATCTCCCTGGGCGCATACCTCAAACCCCTTTACAATAGTGATTATGAAAATACGAAAAAGGTAGGTTTCGAAAGTGGACGAAGGCCTCGGAAAATCTAGTTATATGCTTAGCAAGCTCCAGGAACTTGGGGAGAATCATTTCTATTTTCCAAATGTAGTATTCGTTAATTTGTTTTCCATTCACATAGTTTAAGATCAGGATTTATAAAAATAAATAAAGGGAAACCAGGTATAGAATAGAAAATAGCTAACGCTTGGTTTTACAGGTAGAGCATTTCGTCGTTGCCTCGTAGTGAAAAAGAGAGTGAATATAATTAGTTTATAATAGAATAGGCTGCCATATTATTCCTCTATCGTTGGTTCGACTTAATAAATCTATATATAATTGCATAATGCACATATAATCCCACGTAATAACCTGGTGCCCAGAAGCATAAGCACTAAGCTAAGGTAATGTGTGTGTATATTCTAGCGTAGCGCTCGCTTAGTACGCGAAGCCACTGATTTGAATTCAGTATTTTGTAGCAACACCTATTGAAAATATTGGGTTACTTAGTACTTGTCAGAGTAGCTGAAACGGAGTGAAGCGATCAGTGCTTGTTCTGTGTCTAATTACTTAGAGAAAAGAAGGTTAGGAGCTAGCCTACAAACCCTTAAACAGTAGTGCCAGGTCACGTGCAAAAAGATGTCGCAACAGCAAGTCACTAACGCTTAGATTGAGAATACTATATAAAGTGGAACTATTGGATCAAAGTTAGTGTAGATAGCTATAACTTAAGAGAGGCTTTTGTTTATGAATTCTAAAATTTCCCCTTAACTAATCGAGTGTCTATATTAGTTAATTGTATTGGTTAGTCCAAAGGGATAGAAAATACTATAAAAAACAGCCGTCGCGTTTGTTTTTGTATGAATATATCGCTTGTTTCTTTGAATTCGAACGAGAAAAATCTTTACAGAACATAATTAGGTACAATTCATTCTTCCAAATCCTTTAATTTGGAAAACTTGGAAAGAATATTAGATCGGAGTTCACCGTTACTAAAATAATTATATATAGGTTCAGTACCCGAAGTATATATCAGACCACCATTAAATTCTACTCTATTCACTTATGAAAATTTATTCCATCAGTTTAGGTTATATGAGATATCCTACAATCGAGTATTATTTGTGGACGGAAAAGGGTGTACTGATACGGAGCACCGACTGTCCTAAAGCAGAGACATGCTTTTTATCGCCCCTTGACCTCGAACACGACCGTTGCATCACCAATCTTGACTTCGTCTCCACTCTTGACGCTCAAGTCGACATTGGATCCCGATACGCTAAGCCCATTTCGATGTACTCGAGACATCGCATCTTTACCAGGGCCAGTTGGCCATAAGAAAACCCATGACCCATTAGTAGCATCAACCTCGATATTTACTCGGACCCTCTCATTGTCATGGGACCATTCGAAGTTTCCATTCCGCAGAATGTACTTGGTATCTGGTTTCAGCGTTGCATTTAGTTTGGACACCCGGTTTGTTTCGTAGAGGAGAGCGAGGAAGCGCTCAACGTCGTATGTTTGAAGATAGTGCGTCATGTTGCTGGAAATCTGGGTGTGAGGAGATTATTTGGATGTGAGGAGGTGGATTTCGGGGGTCTTAAGTATAGAGAAACACGGGGAAATGGTGAAAAATCCAATAACTAAACAGTAGAAGAATCAAAACAATCACAACCGCCAATGTCATTCACATGATAATATGAGTAGATCAGTTGGCTGTTCTGTCTAGTATTATTCTGATTATGAAAACACTAGTATCGAGATAAAATGACTGATTCGAATGAATCATTGTAGTAAGCTATAGACGTTGCAAGGATCTCAAACAGATTAACAAAGGCATTGTTGAATCCTCTTTGTCTCATATAAAGTCTGGTGGATTCCTTTCAGTACTTTCCTCTATCAAAATTTGGTGAATACAAAAATCCTTTTGTCTTGAATAGGAAACAGTAATTTGAAGAATGTACTTAAATAGACCTTGGATAACTGAAAAGTGATCATACATCCAACTCTAACGCCATTTCTTGATGCATCTGACAATACTTCACACTCGATAGTATATCATTTATCTCAAGAATTGCCCTGATTGTTATTATTGCATATATTCGAAATGGTCTCTCAAAGTATATTTGGTGGTCGACGTTTCATCGCGGCTCCAGCTACCCGAGAGTATCCGCAACTTCCTACGATCAGCATTCGTGAACTAAACCATTTCTTCTTCATTCTCGCCGAGCCCAGCTCGAAGAAAACTGAAAGTAAGTTCTGGTTAACCCCTGGTGAATACCAAATTCGTGACGGGGATGTCACTGGTAAGTTTGAGTTTCAAGCGACTGGAAAGACAGAGGCAATACTCACTTTCAAATTCGGCGGCCCAGATTTCGCCGTTCCTCCACTTATGGGAGTTGCTGTAAATGAGCTAGAATGGGTAAGCGAGAGTGATTCGGCACATTTGCAGTCTGCTGTCGCGTCTTCTGAAAGCTTGTGCCTCAAGCCAAAGAAGACCGAAGATGGCGACTTTATCTTCGAGACTGGACGAGGATTCATTCCAAACCCCCCCCAGTATGAACTTTACAGAGTTGAACCCGCTCACCTTAGAACACTACACTCATGGAGCTTTACTACTTCGTACGAGAGGAGACATGGTATTCGGGATGTGTGCTCCCGTACGCATGTATATTCTACATGTCAGTGGGCTTGAAGGATTCGAGCACGTTAGGGATCCCTCTCCAATATCTGATATATAAATTGAGAGTAGCTCTGTAAGTGAGTGCATGATGCTTGCAAGAATCTAGGTAGGTCTGAAGGGTCACACAAGAATCTCAATAGCCCCAAGCCTAGCTTGGACAAATACCTCCATATTCCTCTCTACAACCAATATCAAATCAAGTTTTCTTTTTCAACCTTTGTACATCCTGTAATCTCAATAGTAAGTTAGTAACGTTACAGTATCTTTCTCTTATTCTGTGAAACCAAACTCTACCCTCCAGGCTATTCTTCCTGTTTTCTAGCTAAGTTAACCCACGACATCTGATAATTCATCAACTCATAGAAGTCCCTCGCCTAATAAATCGACCATTCAATTTGTGAAAGAAAACTCGAATTAATTGCATAATTGAGTGGGAGATATAGAAGAAGCATATTACGAAAAGCTCCCTTTAACGGCCCCCCTCCCCCACCCAAAAGAACGGACCCTGTCTTTAGGGTATATAATCATTCTTTTTGATCCATCCACGAAGCGTAGGGTTACTTGATTTCATCTGGAAAGGATTCACGTAATTGGCTAGAATGTTTCTATTCATTGAATCAATAAATGTTATTTAGTTGCTCTTCCATATTGTGCTACTTTCTCCTCAGCCCTCAAGACTGCCTTCGAGTTGCGTGTGGATAAAATGAGCATAACTTTGTCCCCATCTTAAAGTTGGGAGTGTCAATACTGATTTCTTCCTCTGGTGCTCGATCTGATTAAAGTATGTGAGGAGGAACTGGGTTAGTGAGATCCGGGTTCGCTCCTTCCTCAAGTAAAACTTACACCTCAGTCACCATCTGTTCAGTTCAGCTTTCAACAAAAGTCACTAAACCCTGTGTCGCCCCTTCCACCGGGTTTCCGCCGCACTATTAGCTTCATCTTCCGCAGTGTCTCAGAAACAAGGTCATTAACCTTTTATGCCCCTGGGCTCCTGGGGTTGAAAGCATGTGGCATGCGCAAATCATGAAACACGCTTCTCCATCGGCAGTAGACTGTATCCTAGGTATGAAAACTTTCATAGAACCAGACACGTTGCCTGTCCCAGAACAGTCATGATTTGGAACTACCGTAAAGGCCGTACGTAGTCCGTAAAAATGAACTTTTTTCAAAAACAAAACGATATTTCGGTAAAAAGGATAACCTCATCTTGGGGAGGCACCTGTTGAATGACTCGAATGGCTCCGAAAGTGACCTATCATATTAGAATCTGCTACCGGCACTATCATGGGTTTTATGTGAAGTACAACGAATTAGTCATGATTATAGTGGAAGTGGATTGTGACTATCGAAACGACACCCCAGTGTTAAAGGGTCGAGTTAGACTAGGCTTGATGCCCTCAGGTCGTAGATGGTCTTTGAAGCCGCTTTATTAGTGGGCCTTGAAACATTTTTCGAACATACAATTTCTCCATACTATCTTTGAAGCATTCCATTGACAGCTACTGAAGGATTGTTAAGAACATATAGCATATATTGCCGAAACAACATTTAGCAACCCAATTTAACATATGTTTCTTGTTATAAAAGCATATTTGATGAAAATCTGTCAGAGTTAAATGTACAGCTTACACAAAACGAGCATTATGGCTCTTCTGTCTTGATATGAATTCTGAACCCCCGCCCAAGCGATAGCGAGTCTGAAAGCAAAAACCGGAAACCTTTATAAACAGATTGTCGCTCTCCACCACCATCATCTATCCGTATTGTAGAAAATTCTTTCGTTGGTCCCCGAACATCTATCGTATTTATTCCCTCATCCCCAAACAACTGACTGGCTCTAAACCGATGTCGGTGGTCCTCGGGATGATGTCGCGACTCCTGATCATCCTCGGTTAAACCCTTGAAGACTGGATTTCTTTGGTAACTGGTATGATATCCTGCGCCCGTGAAGGGCATGGTCACTGTGGCCACAACTTCTTGGGTACTTTCATCGTGCACTTTGAGCCGGAACTTTATGGTATCGTTTTCTGTTACAGACCATTTGAAACTTCCCTTGGTCCCGGTGTCTTCGATGTAGTACTTGTTGTTGGGTTTGAAATTCTCACTTCTCGTCAAGGCGCTTGATGAGTTTTCATTGCTGAGAATGGCAAACCATTGTTGGAGTTCAGTAAAGTTCCTGGTGGGTTTTGAGGAAGAGCTTGGCTTTGAAGAGGACTTTGAGCCGTGTTTAGATGTATCTTTTCTCTGCCAGTCCTTGGCTGATGAGCGAAACATGATGGTCTGTTCTTACTGGCAGAGCAGTGTTTTGTAACAATTCTGATTTTGTAACTCAGTGCGGCAGTGTTACAAAAGTTCTCGTAGGTGTTACCTCAAAACTGAAAAAGTCCCTTTGTCTGGCTTCCCTGAGAAATATGACTTGTACCGGTACTCTGGAAGCTTTTGGTACGAAGGTACAAATGAAAAGGGCATGAGAAGAGCCGAAAACAGCTTAATTACGACAAAGCTACTGAGCCTTTCCCCATTCTGGTCTTTACTATCCAGGGGGAGGAACTCCGAGCTTATGAATGACATTTGAAGTTTTGCTGTATCTTGTCTTTGTCTAGAGGCTGTCCTCGTGTTTCTACTTCGAAAATTTTTTTCTTCTTCCAGAGAATCACTCACTCTCCAGTCGGGTCTTTGGTGCCCACTGCCGCAGTTGGGGGGATACATAGTCTAAAGTCGTTATAACCGACCTCTGCAATCTGTTTCAGGAATTCATTTCTCCTAGAGTATGAACATTATTATAGTTAAACATTTATTCATTCGACGGATATATATAATCTATATCTCAGAAATACTCGCGTTATTTAATTAAATCGTTCGCTGTTTAATGCTATAATATCGTAACGTGAGTATTTAAGTCCAGAATTGGTTTCTAAAGTTTAGCAGATCGATAAGAGAAAACTTTAGAGAATCGCTTTTTTTTGGGCTGTACTATTTGTAATTGTGCGAAACCAGAAAGTGAATAAAATTGACCAAAGAGTTTCGAATCTGACATGTGGTTCTAAGTAGTCTAGGTCCATTGTACAAGCAATGATATGATTGTACATTTTATGTTAGATCAACGGACCAGGTAGGTGTACCAAAGAAAACTCTTGTGTTTACAAAGATTGGCATTCATTTTGTGGGCTCATCGACATTTAACGTCTTTGCCGTGTCTTTCTCGGCTGACATTGGCGTGCCATTATCAAGCCCATATTCGGTCTCCAAAACTGTCGAGAGCTCCAACCCACATTCTAGTCCGACTATGAAAAAGGCCACAATACTAATACCCAACCCAAACCACCATATAATTTTCAAGGTGGCTATATACACACCTACAATCTCGTCCCATACCTTTGGATCAACCAAAGATTTCATTCGATGTGCTTGGCTAGCAAAAGAATATGCTGCCCCATTCTCTAGTTGAGCTCGTAAATCGGGAGATTAGACTCGATACAAATTGTTGTGAAAAACAGGGTTAAAGATAAGCGAAGGTAGCGTCACGCCCCATACAAAACCGAATGTCTTGATGAATGAAAACACGGCTGACGCAGACGCAACATCAGATTCGGGAAGCGCAGCTAGAAGCGCATGAAGAAGAGTTGAGACAGTCATTCCTAGCACTGCTGTGATAATCTCAAAAAACAGGCCCAGGCAACCTTTGGGCTATTGTGATGTAAGGTTGTGAAAAGACCGAAGCCAATAGCAGATGTTGCAAACATCGCAGCATGAATTGGGCGATATGCACCGAATTTGCTAAGCGCAATGCCTCCAACAACCGCCCAAATCAAGATTCCAATGGTCATTGGGATGAAATAGACGCCGGAGGTAGAAATTGTAGTGGCGACAACAGCTTGGAAGTATATCGGAAGGAAATATCCCGATGCTTGAAGTAGGACTGCACCTAGAAAATTCAGGGCAAATCCAGCAGCTGAGGTCCGATTGCCAAACAGACGTGTAGGCACAGTGGGGTTGCGTGCGCAAAAATGCTGCTGTAGGTGGAAGAAAATCCAACCAGAAATACCGAGAATGATAGGTAGAATAACACGGCAGGAAGACCAAGGGTACTTGACGCCGCCTGTAACCAGTCCAAACAAAAGGGATATCATACTGATGGTAAAAACAAAATTTCCGAGGTAATCCAAATGACGGAGCTTGGAGATTCCCCCTCCCGTTTTGACGTGCATGAAGAAGGTAACGATTACTAGAGGGATGGCGCAAATTGGAATGTTCATATAGAAAATCCATCTCCAGGCGCGCTCAGCCAAAATCCCACCTATAACTGGCTGAGATAATATGTCAGTATTGTAAAAGAATAGAGGGGAGGGAGGAACTCAGAGAATACCCACTCCCAATGCAGCCGCAACAGCAGCCCAGACGTTGACAATCGCGAGGTACTTCCCACGCTCACGAAGAGGTACTAAATCGCAGCACACAATCTCAATTAACACAAAGATCCCACCAGCCCCAAAGCCCTATACCGTCCTGCCAGCTATGAGCATTGCAGGGTTACGAGCACCACCAGCGAGACCGCTGCCCAGCATAAAAAACACAATTGATATTATCAGAGGGATCTTGCGTCCAAGAATATTGGCAAGCTGACCTAACGGCGGCTGTAAGACTGCCGATGCAAATACGAAGGAGTTGGCAATCCAGACGTATCGCCTCGCACCACCATTATCCTCAGCAATGAGAGGTAATGCAGTTGCTATTATGGTCACGTCGAGAGCAGAAATGAAAGACAGGAGACTGAGGGCAATAATAGTCATCCAAAATCGTGGTGTGTGACGATCGGTGGGCCTTTTCTCGTTGGGCATCTTGTCTGTTTTTGGATCTGCTGGTGTAGTTGGTGATCCGTTTGGCCCGCTTATATCAGCCATGACTTGGATTTGATGTTGGGAGGAAATGGAGAAAAGACTTGCTTGACAGTCAGAATTTAGGAAAGGGGAGAGTTCTTCACACCGTCGACATGAGCGATTGTGACGAGCATCATCCCCCGCTTAGATAAAGACCCCTGGACATGCTTTGGGAAGAAACAGGCACGGGGTCAACAGCGGTCTGCGTCAGATAATATAATGTTGTGCTGGGTCTACTTTCTCTTTTGCTCCACTTCCTTATTTGATCCACTTATAGTTCTGCTGCCTAAATGCTTCATGTCTGCCTAAACCTTACACTCTTTATATAAACACCTTAGATAGCTACCTTTTACAATGCAATCTATTCTCCATGACCTTCAGTACCCAATACCCTTTCAACCCAATATATAACATTGAGTTCCATTTCTACAAAATCAGGGTTGAGATGCGATGTTGGTTCTAGTGCTGTATTTACCTCGTTGGTTGGCTTGAGGTTGGACGTATTGCTAGGATGTAATTGGATGGCTTTTGCCAAGGATCCACCTCGCTTAGGACAACCGGCCACAATCCTTGAGCGTCACCAACAAGCGATAAGCAAACAATCCAACACATACGAATACAATAAGTCTGCATCTGTTGCCTCGTCAGGTTGAAAGAGGAGCGCTACCCCCACTTTGTCACTTAAATTCCGCTTATTTCCATTCTCCTTCTGCTCCTCGGTCCAAAGTTTTTCACTTCAGCGGCTTCTTCTCAAGTTATCGAGGCTTTGAGAGAGGCCCTTCCCACCGGAAAATTTGTCGAGCGTGGAACAGAAATTTTCCAGGACTTGAACTCATCTTATCTCTCAACTCTCGAAAGTGATCTCCAACCAGCTTATATCTTTCAACCACGAAACAAGGAAGAGGTTGTGATCTTCATACAGGCTATCAATACTTTCATAGAAAGTGTCAAACTCGCTATACGTGGTGCGGGATGCCAGCCAGTTCCAGGCTGCGCCAATATTCAAGATGGCATTACTTTAGATCTAAGTTTTCTGACCGGTATTGATATCAAGGACGGTTCTGTCCAGATTGGGGCTGGCGAGCATTGGGGTAGTGTGTACCAAAAGCTCGATGGTGAAGGGCTTGGTGTTGTGACTCGATTTGATTGCAAGACTTTCAAACAAGGGAAAATCTGGGGCGGCTCCGTGTTTTACTTTCAACCAAGTTTTCCTGGCCAGATTGAAGCACTCGTCAAAGAGCTCAAAGACCCAAATGCAAGCAAGGAAACCCATCTCATGATTAGCATTGGATACTCTGCTGCTGTTGGGCCACAAATTATGTGTTTGAACCAGCCATACTTTACGGACGCAATGGAGAATCCCCCAGTACTTGATCCTTTCACCAAAATCGAACCACAAATCGGTTTTATGAACACTATGCGACTACACACCCTGAAGGAGGCTGCGGAAGAGCAAGCAGGAGCGCACCAGCGCCTAGTTAGGTACGCATAGTTTCCTTCAAAGGATTTCAAATATCTAATTTTCGAGCAGGTGTGCGTACATGAACATGACAGTGAAGGCCGATGTTCCCACGCTTCAGAGAGCGTCAAACATCCATACAGCTGAAATTGATCATATTGATGAACACGGGTATCCCAAAGACCCGGAACCTCCCATAAGGTCCGTTGAAAATGGACTGTTCTCTCTGACACTTCAGCCGTACTCTCTCTCCTTACTCGAGAAGTCCGCTTCCAATGGCGGAAACTCATTGGGTCTCAACACCAATGATGGCCCACTTGTTTCGATCTTGCTAATGTCGATATGGAAAAACGAGACAGATGACGATGTCGTGCTTGATTTCATGAGGAACACAATCAAGCACATCAAGCTCGATGCTGAAGAAAGATACACACTTGTTCCATATGTTTACATGAATTACGCATTTAGCCACCAAGATCCAATTGGGTCTTACGGAGTTGAGAACCACGAGAGGCTTCAGGCGGCTAGTAAGAAATATGACCCGGAAGGTCTGTTTCAAAGGCCTTGTCCAGGTGGTTTCAAATTGTTTACTTAAGATGAATTTTCTCGCTTAGTGTCTTTTTGCCGCTGTTCTCTCACGATTTATGATATTTTAAAGTAGAACATAGTTATCTTAGTTCTAAATTCAATCTAAATTCCTCCACCATTGAGAACAATCGACAATTTGTTTTGATTTTCCGGAAAGCTCAACCGTACACCCAATTCTATCAAGACTCCGGCCGAATCCCATGTGCGGCGTTGCTAAAATTAAGAATAGTCATACATTCAGCATTATGAGGAGTAGTTGTACCCGTAAGTGATTGTTTCAAAGTAAGCAATCGCAGATAAATCTGCTCTAGTAATATGTTTCTTACTCCTCTTTCTCCCCATGATTCACTTTTCTAAATTTAACGCTAAAGAGTTCAATAGATTTTCTGCTTTTTTCAATTTCAATTTTCCCAAGCTTGAATATCGATGAATAAACTTCCTAAATTTCCCACCTTTCTATTTGCTTAATTTTTAAATCGATGATCTTCTTCTATTTTTGCCTTTCTTCCGCTGTGGAGCGGATTCACATATTTTATAAACCTCCCTAAACCGAATTCCCCCTTTCATTGGCCCAATTATAGAGCACTGAGCGATATGGTGGATTCACACGTATTTAAGGGGGCTTATTTTGTGCTACAATAAATGAAACTTACGAGTTACAATAGCATTAATCAAGAAAGGACAAAACAGAATTATGAGTTCACTCAAGGACTCTCTGGCTCTAACTGTCCACCATCCAGGATATTCCGACCAGTATATTCAGGAGAATTGGGGTTTAGCATTGTGTAGGGAGTATTTCGTGCCCCTGCTAGTCTGTCCATTATTCAGCGGATGATCATCCCATCCTCATCTTCTTGAATACCATCGCCGAGGACACCGTGTCCGCTGCAAGGGTGGCCAAAAACAGTGTCAAATAGCATTCTCCTTCCTAACAAAGACTTTACATCTACATTCGGATAACGGGCTTCTAATTGCAGCTTGATGCAATCCGCTTTTGGCTCTATCGGGGTGCACTCTAATCCCATTTCAGCGCAGAAACTGCCTAAAGTTTGTTCAGTCAATTGTCGTAGTAAAAAGATGAAATGCACAGCTTACAAGCAGGTTCCGCTCCATCACACCCTTCATAATTCCACATTCTCTCACAATTCACACAAGTGGGTGAGGCACACTCGATACCAAAAAGCGTTATTTCCTTGAGAGGAGACAAGCATTTGGTGTCCAAAAGGACTGGTAATACTGTCGAACAAAATCGTTGATAACTTTTCCCTGCACTTTCATGTTCACGTCTCCCTCGCATGTACTCATCGTTCTCAGTGCCGTCCATCTCATTCTCATCAGTCGTGGGACGGTGCTCTAGAGTCAAATGTGTCAAGGTGTCTTTGATAGCCGTCAAAATCTTGGCCCACTCTTCAAAGGAACTTTTATCGGATGCTTCAGAGTAGTAGATTCTATCCAAACCGTGTCTCGGATTTGCTCTATCGTAACCATCGGTAGGCTTACAAAGCCAAAGGTGTGTGAGGCTTTTAAAATGCGGAATGCCTTTTCCCGGGAAGAAAATCAGAGGGCGGGGTGCATATACATCATGAGATGGAGACTCGTACAATTCGCTCCTGGGTGGATTAATCCTGGGGGTCGAGCATGAATCGCCAATGGGATCGTCAAGCACAGCGAGTTCGAGCTTCTTGATGCTGGAGGGGCGTTGTAAGAGATACTCAATGAATTCCTTCGGAATGTACCCTCTAAGCTTGACGGTATGAAGTTCTTTCAGGGGCGACGCAGATGGGTCGAAAACAACACTTTCGAATCTTGTATAGCGAGCGTGTATCTCGAGATATTCCAAATTGGGAAATTTCGTGAACGCGTTCCAGCAAACGTTCCAGCAACTGCTCTGATTTCCCTCAGCGTCAAAACACTGATATGGTTTCACTTCCAGACACAACCAGCGAACATGGCTGGCAAGCTGTTCCAAGTGAGATGCTTTTCCAAGGTTGTCGAACTTCACCAAAAATAGTTGTGCAGCTTTAGCACATTTATCATCTGTGTAAGAATCCATGTCCACGGTTTCGTCTGACATTCCATGTCTATATGGTCGGGGCTTGCATTGATCGAAGGCCAGATCAACGTCTTCGTGGAAATACTCTCTGTGAAGCTCAATCTCTCGCCACAGCACCGGCTCAACAAGTGTCTGAACATACTTGCACACCTGTACAAGCTTGGTCAAGTCGCTATGAGGAAGATGGGTTGTGATTTGAAGGAAGATCTCAGGAGGAATCGTGATAATAGGCATGTTTTCTGTGCCGATCTCCGAATTGTTGCAGTGTGTAGTGTTATCTGATGTGTATATGTTCACGCGGGATTTCAACAAGAGAAAGAGTGCAAAGGGAAAATGTCAGAAGCTTGAGGGCAGGAAGCTCAATTTATGAACGTTATGGGCCTTCACGGAAGTGTGGGACAGTGCTGCCCAGGCGGGCCAGGTAAATATTGGTAGGCAGTTTGCGATCCCACCCGTGCCCTTCGCAATATTTCTTCCTTCTCGGATCCTTCATGACACCCGTGTTCATGTTACGCAGGAATTCACTCTCCCAAATATTTAAGGCAATGTCATAGTCTTTGATATTCCTACTCCTTAGTCCATACGCGTATCTTAGCGAGGATCCCCAAATAGCCTATAGGATCATACAGGAAGCGATACGAGTAGTCCTATTTAGAACATCTCTATCGGGACAGAAGAGCCCGTATATTAGAAGCACTACTTCTACTTTTAGCTAGCTCTTCTATTTCTATTAATATTTCATAGCTTATTCCAATAGGTTCCTATGTATTCTTAACACTAATCTTGTTATCGTAAACACGAATATATCGTATTAGGTTTAATAGGAGGATCGCTTAATTAGGCGATACTTACGAAAATTGTCGAGTCCCTCTATAGGAGTTCCCCCTTGAAACATTAATTCATGTAATCGTAGTAAGAGTATCCTGGGTATTTAAATCTACTCATTAAAACGCCAAACACCCCTAGCCCTAACCACACCCCACACTTCCTAAAACCATCAAGCTTCCAGAACCTTGGGCTTCTTCCGAATAACACCAGGTCCTATAACGTTAACCACCTGCTCAGCCACAACCGGCGGTACATCATCCACTTTCCTCTTCTTCCTAACCAAGCCAACACTGAGAGTATTCGCACCTGCGCTTCCACTCATAATAGAATCTTCTTTCGCCTTGGTACCCGTGACAATTTGTCCCCACGCCTCTTTCATATTCCATGGCGCACCAGACCGAACCTCGTTCGTCCATCGTTTCGAGCTAGATAATGCCAATTCTATATTTGCAAAATCGAGTCGGAGTAACAATTCGTTGATACGTTTGTAATCCGTTTCTTGCACTACAACTTGGCCCCTACCACTGGAGGGCCAGTAGTAGTAGGCTGTAGATTCCGGGATTTTAAGGAAGTAGTTTTTGGTCCCGGTCTTGCTCTTTGGTTGTCTTGTAATGATTGGACCAGTGAGCTTCTTTCTTTTGGGAGTGGTACGGCGTTTTGGAGCTAGTTTGGGCGTGTCTTTGGCAGGAGATAGCGGGGGAGGCGATAGGTCAAGAGACTGTTGCTCAGTGGGCGCACTGAAAGAACCTGAGGGTGTAATTGGGTACGTGCGACTGCTTGAGTCAGATGGTGTACGTCCCACTCCTCGAAATGCGACAGTACTCGTTTCTAAATTTTCTGTTGGCTGTGGGTTGAACACGACCCAAATGAAACCAACCCGCCTGCCAGCTGAACATTCCTGCCGAAATGCCATCATGTCCCAGAATTGTTCAATGGTCTTTACACTTTTCCATTGCCCACTAGACTCGGTTTGCTCTTTTGTGATTTCCTCGTCAAGCTCGTCTAGATATCTCGCCTTCGGGTCATCGGGGAAGTGTGGGATAAGGGCCCGAGGTGGAATGTTATTGGAGTGTCGGGATATTTCGTACAAAGGATGTCCCATGGTCCAAGGCGAGCCACCGGCAACTGGTTTTCTGGGAAAGTAGGAGGAGGTTTCGTAAGAATCCAGACCGGGAACTATCAGGTATCCTTCGATGTTTCCGTAACCTTTGCTTGCATTGGAACCGGTAATCAATGGGTCTAGTACACGACACCACCAACGAATTAATCCCCCATCATCAAGAACATGCTTGCCACTATATTCCACGCTCCCAGGAAACAAGTACTGGTCTTGGGCTCGTGCAAAGAGTGATATGACATTGCGAATATTTGGTCTTCGGTGTTGAGCCACAAGATGTTCCAAAAATGTAGCACTAATGTGTTTCAATGGAGAAGATGTTCCCTTTGGCAAATTCAGAAGATGCAGAAAGCCCGTCGAGTCGGCCTTTGAAACGAAAAATGTGGTATTGTATGCGGTAGAATAAAGCAATATCTCGATTGCATATACCAAAACATCCGCGAATTCAGTCCCATTGTCAGCAACTGGAACATTTATCGAAGCCGTCAGGAAGTGGCTTTCGCAGTAGGTTCGTTCTGGACGAGCGCCTGGCGGTGCGGAGAAAATTGAAGGACTTTTAGTGGGAGGAGTGGAAAGGTGGTGAATCTTAAAGCTGACATCCTTGGGAAGTACGACGGCGAGACGTTGAAGCAATGTTGGTGAAGGTGAAGCGGTTGTAGATGCCATCGATGATGCTAGGGGAATATGGTTTTCATGAGCAGCCATTACGAATAACCAATCACTACCCGAAGCTCATGTTCATGCGAATTGGATTGTATGTTGGCGTTGCAGGTGGTGATTGATATGAGAGATCGGAGCGCGATGTGGTCGGCTTCCACCTGCTGGGGAGAGGCGATTGCGGAGCTATCCCAAAGCAGACTAGGGCTGCTCGGGCCAAAATATTTCTGGAAGTTCGAGATTCCAATTGAACTACAGCACCAACGAGTACGACACCCAAATTCGACGTCAACATCTTGAAGCAGGGAATATTCGGATTTAGGATACAATGGCCTCACGGACAACATGTCGATCACTGCAAAGGGCCATAAAACGAATCCGACCAAGCTGTGAATGCGCCAACTCCTCCGCCCGCACATCTACAGTTGCGCCTCGAAGCTTCTCAACAACCCCACCCAGATCAGTAGTCGAATTGGAAAAAGACCGAGAAGAGCGGCCACGATGGTCATATACACCCGAGGAAATGAAGGCGCCATATCCATACAAAGTAAAAGACGGTCGGAAGCCATGGGAATGCAATAGCGATCCGGAACGATTAGACAGGTTCTACGCAAATTTCCTGGGGCCTGGCGGCGAGAATGTCCTGACAGAAGAACTCAAATGGCTGGCAATTACACACAAGAGCTTTGATCAGGGGCGAAGAGGGTTCAACGATCGACTGGCATTTTTTGGTATGCGCTCGCTGTGTGAAGGATCAATGGCATCGCATATTGACTATCGGTTATAGGTCGACGGTTGCTCACACTACAAGCAAATCTGGGACTAGTCAACTCAACCACCTTCAAGAGGCTCGTCAATGAAGGCAAACCACAACACCCCGCGTTAGAAGGACTCGCAAATTTGGAGGAATATCCAGTTTCACGTGTTTTGACCAAAATCAAACTTGCCGCATTAGCCGATACAATTGGAATGCGGGAAATTCTTAGGTGGCAACCAAAAGATGTGAGGTCCCTCTGTGGTTTTCCCTTCTTTCCTTGCTGGACGAGACTAATGACGGATCATGACAGCCCAAACAACTTCTAATGTCAGGTGACAGGGTGGTTATGGCGACCTCATTGTACGCAATATTAGGTGCGATCGGTTTACATAGAGGAGGCGCTTTTGCAAACGAGGTTGCTCGGGAGAAGATTTTGAAGCCATTGGGAATCAGATAGAGGGTTTATGAATGTATGTGATGTAAAATATTGTACAAAATAGGGAAATCTCCCCGGCGTCGCAGACGGTACAAAATACCCAAAGTTCAACTACTTGGTCTGGGTCATGTTGCTCAACATTCACTGCGCTTTCAAGCACCCCAAATCACTATGGGCTGTATTTTTTGTTCACCGATCGATTCAAGAGCTTCTTGTGTACACTTCGTTCACTAACTAAATCGCGCTTAACCTTTTTCAAACAATCTCGACCGAAAAACCTACCTTGCATTTGGGATAAATTTCCAGTAAGATTACCGTATTAATTGGCATATTAGGTATCATTGGTGTATAAGACAAGTTGCGATAGAGAAAAGGTTTTAACCGAACGGGTATTGACTACTCCGTATATAGGATTAAGCTCGTCCTTCTCGTAAGTTTTGGATATATCCTTGGTCTTGTCTCTACTACTAGGGGGTGTTTAGTGTCTGGACCAACTTCCTTTATCTGTGAAATATTACTTCTAGGTAAGATAAGGTTGTCTTTCTCGTCTGTGAGGCTTTCTGATGACTACCTCCGTATGGTACCTTGTGTACCAACTCATAGAGCACAGCCAGCAAATCCCTGACAGCTTCGCAAATCACATGATATCGCCCCCCTTTTTCAATCGTAAATCGATTTATGCTTGTCAAAAACGACTATGTGTCATCTTCAGATAATTCAATCTAACTGCTGTCAAATAAACCAATAAATTTCTTCACCTAAATAGGAATAAACCTGATCCAATTAAAGGGAATATATAGTCACGTGAGTTGAACGGAGTTCTCGGAATTTCCATCAAGCGCGCTACGCAAACAATAGGTAGTTAATAGTTCTCTACATATATGATTGCTTCTTCGAATTTTGAAAATTTGGCTAAAGTCAGAGCAGGTATATAAACATCGCCTCTCCCAAGGACTATTAAACCTCAATTAAATTATACCTACCCCACGTTAGGTGCCATTATTAAGTCCACCCCAAACTTCACATCCATAATCAGAATCCGCTCAATTCGAAGACGCAATTTCAAGCCCTACTACCTGTACACCATGAGAAAAGCCCCCCGCGCGAATTCGTTCGACCGTAATCAACAAGCCTATAAATACACCTCACTCCCAACCGCCAACTCCATCCGACTCCTCCACGTCTACCCCTCCCCCTCGCCTAACGACTCCATATATTGCTCGCTCGCCACAATTTACCTCTCATCACCACCTTCTTACCAGGCACTCTCCTACACCTGTGGTGACCGCTTCGGACTCGCCCAATTGTTATTCAAGGACCGCAAAGGTGGGACAACCGCTCTTCCTGTGACCCAGAACCTCCGGCGTGCACTGCAAAGATTGCGGCCGAAATATGGAAAGCCGTTGGTTATTTGGGCGGATGCGGTCTGCATTAACCAGCATGATCTTGTGGAGCGGGGGGCGCAGATTTCGAAGATGAGGGGGATTTATTGGGGGGCGGAGAGTGTGAGTGTTTGGGTGGGGATGGGGGTTAGGAAGAGTGAGCTTGGGATTGGGATTGCGAAGGATTTGAATTCCCTTTTGTCATCCAATCATCCTCCCAATGAAGAGGAGAAGGAGAGGATACGGGAGTTAGTGAGAGATCCTGGGAGAGTTGACGGGTTGAAAATCTTGGTTCATCTTTTTGGATGCCAGTATTGGTGGCGTATATGGGTTATCCAAGAAATTGCCCTCGCAAAAAAAGCTACGGTATTTTGTGGCGATGAGTCCATTCCTTGGGAAGAGCTCGATCGAGTGTGTTCACTACTCCAATTGGAAGTCGACTATTTGTCCGATCTATTCTATACAAGACCAAGTTGCGTGCGGACACTAACTCATGGCGGTCCTCGGGTCTCCAACTATCACGTTACTCCCCAAACACAAACGCGTCCCCGTTGTTGGAGCTACTACTCTCACATAAGAGTAAGAAATCCACCGACCCGAGAGATAAAGTCTTTGCTTTGATAGGCATATCGAGTTCTCGCACCACTTTTGGAGCTATTGATTATGAAAAGGATGTTAGAGAGGTGTATACTCATACAGCACGACACATCATTCAAAGTACCGGGAAGCTGGATGTTATCTGTGTCAAACAGCGAGATTTCAGTACCGAGGGGCTTCCGAGCTGGGCCCCAGATTGGTCGAGGCCGCCTCCGAATTCTGGGCCTTTGATGGTTGGTATTCATCATCGGGTTCCGCCTTTCAATGCTGCTGGGAATACAATTGGTAGTTTTGAGTTTCTCGGCGAAGATGGGGGTAGTTTGTGTGCTAAGGGGATGAGAATTGATGTTATAAAATCTGTGGGTATGCCGTTTCGACAGAAGGGTGCACCGAAGAACATTCATACTGCCTCACAAGTTTTAAAAGACTGGTGGGGTTTATTTTCTTCTTGTGTCCTTAACCCGCACTCGAGATCTGCAAAAGCTTTGTTTTGTCGCGTCACATATTGTGGAAATTGGATATTTGATGAGAATGATGCGATATATGAGGAGAGACTACGTCGTATTTCTGAGGTGTCTGAGTGTTTACTCCTTGAGGATGAGGCACAGTCTTCTACTTCGCTTTCGGGCTCGGTCAGTTCTTTGACTGAAGAAGGGGACGAACAAGATATAGAAGAAATTGATGTCGTGGTTGATAAGGAAGGCCATTCTGTGGTTATAAATGCTAGTATTACTATGAATTGACGGCGACTGTTTATCTCTGGAGGGGGCATAGTCGGATTAGCCCCATGGGATGCGGTAGAGGGGGACGTGATTGTTGTATTGCTTGGTTGCAAATTCCCTGTTGTCTTGAGGGACGTTGGAGGACATTTCGTGTTGGTTGGAGAAGCTTACGTCGATGGGTATATGGATGGAGAGGCTGTGTTTGGGTTAAGAGAAGGGGCTTTTTCGGAGCAGGCGTTTGAGATCCGTTAAGTGGTCGGTTCCACGCAATAAGCATTTTAAATTTTGAAGATGCTCCATTTTTGTGAGACAGTGATATGGGTGAATCTGTTGTGTTGTTGTGAATACACTGATGTTTCTACTGTAGTGGAGCCAGGTTTATCGTTGGCTGACCCAAGCTACGCCACACTTATATAGCTTGACATAGCGTAGAAAGTAAGATATGAGAGACAAAGGGGCATACGAACCCCGGTCAATAAACAGAGTATCTGGCACAAAAGATGTTCCTGGAAAAAACTAACTCCTTTGAGTTGGTGTAAAAGCCGAGTTTCTAATAGACAGGTGTCCATAAAGTTTATAGCTAAGCGAAATACCCCTTACTCAAGCGAGCCAACCACAATCGAAAGATGTAAAAACTACTAAGTCGGTGCATGATTACATGCACATAAGTATGTTCTACGCATAAAAATGGAATTAGTTGGTATTTACCTTGACTTTCTGAAATCTGCAAATTCATTGACTAATCATACACCTGTATTAATTCAAATCCTTATTGATCGTTTCAGTATAGAATGTACTGAAGCTAAACAGACACTCCTATTGAAGTTGATTCTATGTTTCTGGTCGGTAAAAAAACTATAAATCCTGCCTTCTCTGGCTAGCAGCGTTCGGCAACTAGAATTCTATTCTATCCTAGACCCCCTTTTCCATAGAACTTCTATAGAAGCGAATCATATAACCCGGAATAAAGTCCTCCCGGTCCGACTGACTAATAGGAAGCCTGGCCCTTATTATGGTACTCTACACTATCTAGCGGCTTACTAGTAGGCATTATTATGTAGAAGCCTATTCTAATGTAGAGACGTTAATTATAGGAAATGTTATATAGGTGTTATACAAAATTAATTAATATTCACTTTAACTCTCCTTTAATCCTGCTCTCTGATTAGTTAAGAAAATCCTCTCTGGGATTCCAGAGCCTAATCGATGGAATATTCCATTCCCTTTATAAGGTGCTCTAGAATCGTTCCAGATGGAATATAATTCCAAAATTCCATAGAATCGAGGTTCCATTTGCCGAACGCTGACTGGCTAGCAAGCGCTTTTAAATACGGCGCGCCGCGCACTAGTATTTATGTCTAACAGGAGCGTATATCTAGACATGTACTCCCCTGCTATCTTTTTCGATTATGATTACATAGATTGTAACAAAGTGTGAGAAGTGAAGCATGATGGAGGAAACGAAGCAAATTGCAGGAGAAAAGACATGTTACAGTTACATCTTACCCCCCACATTCCACCATAGCACCAGAACTTCAGTTTGTCCACTTTCTTTCCAATTCTTCCTGCCCCCTACTCTATATTATCCTTTCTCTCCATGCCTTGCTAGGGCGGTACTAGAAGTCTTCAATTTTGAGGCTCTGTTAGTCTGTATCTAAGGATTTGACAAGTTATTAAATGGCGTTCAAAGGGTTGTCCATTCGGCGTTCCGTAGAGTGGGTTATGTCAATCTTTGGGACAAAAACCTTTTAAATGTGATTCAGCAGTGGGATTGACAGATCGATGCATAATCTACTCAGAAAGACAAATATACAGCGAATCGAAGCATCTAAAACTTAGCGCAAAGCGTGTCCGCAACTGATGCCACAATAGAAATAGGAGTCTTCCCCCTACCACCTACTAATCCTCTTCCCTCTATATTCTTCCATTCCTCAAATTTCCTACCAAATACCTCTCAGACCTTGATATACTTCTGTCCGCTAGTATCTGTGGTACCGATCTCCCTGAAGGCCTCTCTCATCTTATCATGAGTCTTCAAGAACTCATAGTCCATTTTCGCCTTCTCCTTCATGTCATCGCTTGCGAGCAGATATCTCGCTTGCGCACAGTAGAGGATAAGAGCTGCGAGACCCGCAGCAAGAGCAGTGGAGACGGAAGATCCTGTCAAGTACTGGATCTTACTTACCACTGCATCACTGAGACCTTCGCCCTCGACTTCCTTTCCTGGGAAAAGGGAGGAGACGGTAGATGTATCGCCCACTTTGTCGAAGAGTTTTCCGTTTACATCCGCTGCTCCAATTTTGATGATATCACTGGAGGCCTTGTATGGGTAAGAGAAGATTCTCTCCGACGCCTTCGTCACTGGCGGAACAGAACATAAGGATTCTGTTGGTGGCTGCTTCGCGAATGGCGGCCTCGAGCTCGGCGATAGCCCCTTGATCATGATTTCTATCTATGGCACTTTGTATCGTCGAAGACATGGAGATGATATGAACTTTCATGGTCACGGCTTGACGAATTGCCTGAACTATTAGTCAGTGTGTAGATAATTAGAAAGGCACCGGAGTAATATACCTTTGCTGCACTTTCAATTGTAATTCGTCGCTTCGTTCGTAGATCTGGATCTATCGAATCTTCTAGTTTTAGGATGTACAGTTTTGCCATGGGACAAATACGATGTACTTGAGATGCCATAATTGTGCCATGCCCACGGCTGAGGTTTTCATATATTAGCTTTATTTCTTGGAATAGCGGATCACCCGGGACGCAAACCCCCGTTTTGTTTACTCCCGATATTCTGAGCGCTCAGGAATCAGGGAGGCTTGCTGCGTGAACTTTGTAATATCGAAAGCGGAGGACAACGAGGAAAAGGACAAGATTAGAACCTACCTCGATGTGTACCATGGTGACGGTGCCTCCCTATCGTCATGACAAAAACTATGCCCTGTGATATCAACCATCGGACCAAGTTGTAGCTCTGCTGTGTCCGCACCATCATCAATAACCGCAACTTCGATAGCCTCCTTCGATTTTCTCAGAGCATTAAGGCCTCTCGGACTACCGTCTTGGTCCCATTTCTTTTCGGCATTGACGAGAAGTGTCCTGAAGTCGGTCATGGTCTCTATCCACCTATGTTTTTCCGGCTGTTCGGCTATTTCTGGTGCGCTTGCAAGTCGGCTCAGAAATACATTCTGCACCTTCCTCAATTTGGGTACGTATATCTCCACTCCCTTGTACCCTCTAGCTATTGCTTGGGCCACTTGCTGTGCTATCAAAGAGGCAATATCCTTCGCTGTCTCTCTGATGCCATTTTCACTATCTCGGGCGATAGTTTCGGCCAAAGATTTGATCATTTCCCTCACTCTAGCTTTAGTTGTCCCTTTGTTGATATCGAGGTTCCCCTTATTCAATACCTTCAATATCTCCTTTTTGGCTCTTGATGAAAGCTTAATATCTATCAAGCATTTTGTTTCTCTTGATATCTGTTTGGCGCAAGACTGGCATATCAAGCTGGTTTTTCCAGCGCCCTCCTCGTTCCTTTCCTGAACATACAAGGCTCTGAATACTGGAATTAATTCTTTGATGACTGCCTTCAATTCTTCTCTTGATTTATCCAGGCACTCTTCGATCTTCCCATGGGACCACACCAGAGCAGTATTCTTGTCAATACGAGCTTTGAACTCTTCCACGTTCTCATCCACCCTTGATTGGGGGTCAAGTATTCCTTGCTAATTCATTGGTCAGAAACAAGCCGCCACCACTGTTGAAATTCTCTCGGGCCAAGTACCTGTTGTGTATTTAAAACAATTTTCTTCAATCCTCTCAATTGTGGTAATCCCTGCTCTTCACTCCAGCCACGAAGAACCGAATTCTGACCGCCCCGGTGTAAATGAACTTCTCTCACATCGGGAGATGCCTTACGGATCACCTCCGAAGAGAGATCGTATTTTTTCCACTACAAAGCTTTAGCGACAATCCCGTCATGTGAGACCAGACCGAAATCAGGTATATCATTGAGCCAGCTGTATAATCACTCGTCGTACTGTACAAAGACACGAAACATGTTTGTCCAGAATAATATTGAAGAGTCTACTCGTCGGCTTTCTTCTTTGTCTTTTCATAACATACCTGTTGGCTCAGATATTTCTGGCGCAAAAGAAATGAGGTAGAATCATGGAGGGCTTTTACTTACGTCCCAAACTTCCACACCCATTCCCTTCAGTGCTGCTTCAATGGCCACATCACTATGAGCTGGCACATCTAGATCATACACAATTACTCTTAGGATAGTGGTCACCCCTTTGCCTTTGTCCCGGAGCCATCCAAACACCTTCCCTAATTCATTGCGACCATTACCATCTCGGCCGCGAGTCCTTTTTGTATTGGCCACGCTTGTCGATTCCTGAGCCTCGTCAGATGAAACTTTCGGAATGTGTACGAATTGCAAGATGTTCTCAAATTTGAGATGGGATATAATCTTTTGGATCTTGTTCAACGTCAGTGTGCTGTGTTCACTAACATCGAAAAATATATCCTTGTCTTTTTCTATCGGGAGTCATTAGCTGAATCACAACAAATTATGACCATCTGTTACGTACCCGAAGTTGTCGAGCCGCCATATAAGATCTCCAATGCAGCAGAGTGATCTCTGGTCCTAAGATAATGAAGCTTGAGAAAGCTTCCTACCTCATCCTCATTACTCGGTAATATTTGCTTGTCGGTACTTGATGCCTTTGCCTCAGCTATGATACCTTGGTAATTTCCACCACGGGTTAAGGTACCTATGTTGGAAGGTGGTCCAGTCTCAGGGCTGGGCAAGACGGTCACTTTTGACGGCGCTGTGATGTTCTTTGGCAGCGTGTTTTTTCCGTGCACTTTCAAATCTTTTGAAAATACGTCACCGTCGAGATCTCCGGTAATTCTTCTTTGGGGAATGCCAAAAGGGTGCTCGTTTTTTGCTGGGGCAGCTCCGATGTCTGGTGCCACGGCTGGGTTGGGTGTTATTTGCTCGCCATGGTGATTAACACCAGTTAGACTCTTCCTCTCATCTACCGCTTTCTTAATCTCCTCATTTCGAGTCTCCAGGTAATGGATGTATGGCGACTTTTTATTGCAGTTCGGATCGCCGCCTTCGAGGCTTTTCGTATACTTGTCGCATTTTTTGACAATGGCCATAATAAGCTCCAACTGTGTTGGCAACGACTAAACCCGACGATACGCAACCGCAAGATGTAGTGGAGTATTGCCATCATCGTTTTTAGCACTCAAAGTCGCCTCCGAGGCCAAATCAACCAAGAAAGCTGCCATGTTGCTGCGCTCACTTGCACTCTCAATAGCGTAATGAATACAGTTTCCACGCTTTCCGCTCTGAATGGAGAGGATTGCGTCAATGTTGTCGTAGGCCTCACACATCCACTTGACCATAGATCTTTTCCCATTCGATATTGCAATGTGAAGTGACGTGCGCTCAGAAAAGTCTGTTTCAGCTAGCAGCCGCTTCTTTCCTGGTGTAGCCAGAAATTTGACAAGGGACTGAAGGTGTTTAGAATTGTTCGGTAGTTCTGCTTTCTGCATTTCTGCTAGAACATGTAGTGCTGTGTGGTGACCGGTCGCGTCAATAGCTTCAGCAAGGCTATGACGGTCCGCACTACTGACAGCATTGAATCCACCTTCACGAATAGTTTCCAAGACGGCTGTCAACAAAATTCGTACAGACTTTTTCATTTGCTGACGTGGTTCCTTCTTATTTCTCCTCCTGGAACCAAGTCCATCCGAGTCAGAGTCACCCACATCACTCTGCGATGATTCATCGTAGTTTTGATAGCTTTCACCCTGAGTCACCCTTTGAGTGTCCATAATTTGTCCTATGGTTCGAATGCTAGAATCGAGCTTAAGGAAAGGATATACAAAATGAAGTGGGCGTGGGTTCACAATAGCAATATTGTTGGTACCGAGGTAGTGTAGACGTGTTATATCCACATTCGAGAGGAGGTCTTTCTTTCTGGTCCCAGCACGCAGAGCCAAAACATATGGTCGGATTTTAATCCCTGGTCTTGTAAAGGAGGCACAGCTGGATAATGTAGAAGACCAGCCAGCCTGCCTAAAATGGAAGGTGGTCTCACCTAAGCAATGCTACATATAGCATGCAAGTACCAGGATGAAGGGGGGTTTCCAAGGCTTTTTCGTCTGCTCGTCATACCACCAATCTTGTTCATGAGGGGTAATCAGAAATTCACAGGTCCTGGCGAGCAATCATGCTGCCCCAAATCTGTATCACTTTACATTTTTTCTTTGAAGTGAAAAAGCGATGAGTTATGCTATGTAAAGTGCTTGAATTACAGAAGTAACAGTGCTCAAACATACGGAGTTCCCTCCACGTTATTCTCACTTCTTCTGTCCCTTTCTCCAAAGTCGGGCTCAGATCGTGGTGACTGACTCCATGACAGCCTTGGACGTTTATACGCTGCCATCCGAATGAGTTTTGATCGCACGATCAAACGTTTTGTGAAAAGTGGTGTCGAAGATATCGTCGATCACAACAGATCCCAAGTTTCAAGATCATAATCGCTTCGTAACTTGTTGGTAGGAGGCAATTCAGGATCGAATAGAATAGGATCGTCCTGAGTGCGCTTTGACGCAAAGAAGTGCTTGATTTCAGTCTTCCAGTCTGCTTCGATCTTGATCTTAAAGTTACACTGGAAAAGGTTGTTCTGCTTCCGCCTCAAAAGAATAGCTACCCGTAGAAAAGAAGGGATTCCTTTTAGAACCTGGCTATTTTCGTTAAGAGTAAAGTTGACAGAGATGTCTCTTCCGTACTTGTCGCAAACTGTATCGCCTACAAGACTGATATTGTCTGTTGAGGTCCGATTCACGGACTTGGACCACGAATTTGATGATCCTAGATTGACGCCAAATTGACCTCCATCTGCCTTCACTTCTTTCGTATTCGTGTAGCTCTCTTCCTGGCTGGATTCCAAGAATGCATACCGCCCGAAGGGAGAGATGGCAGCAACTTCCGGAGGAGAGGTGTTTGATTTGGAGCTGGAAAAGTCAAAGGTGATGTTTGCTGAAGCGATGCGACGGAAGCGTTGGGCGTTGAAATGAAAATCATAGACTAAGAGCGTGGCAAACGATGAAGAATCGCCCATGAACCATGAATCACTTCTCTAGATTTGCAGCGAATGTCAACTGGTCCCCGTTGCTCGCTGATATTCGGCCGTTGATACTTTGCGTCTGGTAGGTTATAGATATGGAACCCTCCTTTTTCGCCACCCTTTTCCAAGGTTAAATCGAAGTCGAGATTCGAGTCGAGATCCGAATCTGTTTCAAGGCCGACTTGAAAATCAGTGCTGGGCGTTGCCTCAATCTCCTCAACCTTACTACTGACGACGCTCATCATGATAATCCGTAACAATAAGATGAATGAACAGCGTCAAAAAGGTGGGATGCTGAATAATGCCTGTGAATCTATGTGCCATGAATGTCACAGTGACCCATTTCAGGCTAAACTTCCCTGATTTGGTGCATAAATGTAACCCCCCTTGTTTTGCCTCCTGAAATTAAATATGCGGGATTTGGAGGCCATAATAGATTGCAGTGTAGCAGGGCCACGCCACGCCGCCAGCTACGATATTCGCAATCTTTCTGTGTCTCAACATCAAGATTAAACATGACCGCGAGACAGCATGTCGAACTGTGAAGCGGCTGCATCATCAGCGAGCTCAGCGAAAGTTGCCCTGGCCGAAAATAATATGGCGCTGGGAACAACTACATCAAAATCACTTTCAAGTCCAAACGGTAAAGGTTTGAGAGTACACTGGCCCTCACCGGTCACTCCATCTTCCTCTTCCCAGCCTGATTTTGAGCAAGTATACCCTGAATTGAGATATTTATGAAGTTTATTAACCCTCCATCCAGTGTCGTGATAGTCCACGGACTCTATGGTGGCGCTTCGGATGATATCTCACAAAACTCGACGAACACGAACCTGGGTCTGGAAATAGTAGCTGGGTTCAAGAGTATATTGAGTCATTATCTGAATTGGATTGTAGGCTTTTACTGTTTGGCTATGATGCAAACCCCATTGTCACGGAAGTTGAGAACAGAGTTGAAATCGAGAGGCTGTCGGCACAACTTCTGAATGAATTTGCAAAACTTAGACAAAATGAAGTCCAGGTTTGAGACCCATTTAAAGATCCAAAGAGTCTTGGCTTATAATATCCTTCAGAAACGCGCTATCATGTTCGTGGCTTATGACATTGGGTGTACAATAGTCAAAGATGTTGGTGGAACCCAAGCATGAACCTCCGACCACCCGTCCACTGACAGCTCCGTGTAGGCTCTCGTAACTAGCTTAGCTAGACCCTCTTCGAGTTCAGAGAGCGAGATCTTTGACTATACCCGAATGCTGGTAAGATTACTCCCTAATCCAGGTGACATTTCTCATGATCAGCAGGTATTTTCCGGCTGCCCTCACCGTTCTGAAGATAAAGCCGACATGCAAGACAAGATTTCGCAGTTCCTTTTTACAGCTCACAATCAGTATAAGACAGCTGTCAAACCTCTTCTATCATCCGTCAAGTGGCTTGCTGATGCCGTCATCGAGATCAATGGGCTCTTTATCGACTCGAAAGTTTATCTGAGGAGTCATTTAATAAGTATTGTTGCCAATGATTCGAAAGATGGTCTTGTTAACAATGTGAGATACGAGAGCATCAAATCAACTTGGTCATTCGGATCGCTAATTCCAAAAGGTATTTGATTCTTCTACCGGCGCGTTAGGTGTTCCGTTCGAAAACCAGTTACCAGAAAGTTTGATTCAAACAGAGGAGCCCACTGGTCTTTTGAAGTATCTCGAGCAATTGAAAGATGGTAAGCTCTGATCCATGACGTGACATTTCTGGACTCCATTCAATGGAATCTGTTGGAAGCCGATACTCAATAGACAATGCAGGCAGGCGCCAGTAAAAGTAACCCCTGTTCTCGACATTCCCTTTTCTGAAGCCACTATGCAAGTTTGAGCTCGGTTTCGAAATCCAAAATTTAGACATCCAGGATATTGTTGGATTAATGCCTGTTGTCGAGACCTGCGAGAGTCTTTTCCTGAGATTTTCGTTGCTTATCACAAGCTTGGTTCAATTATATACCCGATCAAGCTATGTCAAATATTTGGGACAAAACTTTCAATTGCATAAGCATATACCCATCGGTGGTGGATCTTCCATTGTGTTTCCCACCCTTGTTATCATGTTATTTCTACTAAACATACTTGGTAGATTTAAAACCACCAGAATCCGCATTGGTGTCCTTCGAGCGCATACTTCTCGCCATGGCACCCCCAATCGAGCCATTCAGAGCGCGCCCTCTGACCGATTCGCCGTTGTTCAAAGTGGAAGTGTATCAACAATGGCTCAATTCAAAAGGCCCTCGGATTCTATTCGTGAAAGAAGATGCGGGCCGCTTACAGGGTACAAGCGAGCAAATCTTTCACTCCCTGGAGAAAACATTCCCAAGCCAGATTGTTCTTTATTTCTCTTTTGACCGTTTGGACCATCGCCGAAACACGGCTAAGAATATGCTGGAAAGTTTCATTGCTCAGCTTATATGCCATGGGGATTGGACCTCCGATTATGCCAAATTGATGTGCTGCGAACTTGAACAAGGTCGTGGTTGGACGGAATTGGATTTAATGAATTGGTTCGAGAGACACATCTTCCTCTTGCGTATTTCTTTTGTTGTTAATAACATTGATGACTGTCTGGAGTCTTCTCAGGATGGCCTTATGTCTTATTTCTCCAGGCTCACATCGGGAACTGAGCGTTTGATCAAAATCGCTATCACAAGTCGTGAGCCTCCGCCGAGCACGAATGATATTCCAATCATTCTCTTCATCAACCTGGTCGGCAGTAAAGCAAATACGGCAGTCGATGGAAACTCTCTCGAATTATACAAGAAATTTAGACCCGGTATTCCTCCTTCGATGGAAGTCATTCAACGGCAGTTGTGTGGCTTCAATCATATCGATCCACTCCTTTTACACATACTCTACGAACAAGCGAAGTTCAAAACAATCCGGATAGAGGACTTTATCCAGGGAGTAGGTTTCCAAAAACCGATGAGCGAGAAAGTTGTACCATCTCTGGAATATACTTTGGAACGAATATTTCAAGAGATTCCCAACACTCATTCAGTCCGGCAATTTTTGATGTGGATAACGTATGCCGCAAGACCGATGACAGTTTGGGAACTTGCCACTGGTTTCTTTGTTGGTTCATGTCATGGTCAGGGCAGCAAGATAAGCCCTAGTAAATCGTTTTTGAGAGAAATGATCGCACACTGGGAAAGCTGCTACGCTGGTATCATAGAGATACGTCAGAATGAAGTCAGGCTATCAAATCCTCGTTTGAGAGATATTTTTATGGTTCCACAGACAGACAACGGACCGTCATACCTTTGGAATGAGATACAAGAAACGGCCGAACTTGAAATAACAAGGTCGTGTCTGGAGTACCTCTCGAGAGATGAAACTCGAGAGATCACAGAATCATATTTAGCCCCAGTACTTGAGTGGAATCGACCATCTATCTTTGCTGATCGACGCAATTTCTGATCATACACAATAATTAATTGGCGCCATCATTTCTCCAGGATTCCACCGTTTCTTGAACCGTCGAGTCTCCTCAGAGAAAAAGTCCCGACATGGTGGTGAGTTAGTTCTCTCAAATCTATACCCAAAAGCACCGTTGTACTACACATGAATGTGGAGACGATGTTCCGACTAGTCTCCTTGTGTTGAGCCAATCGATGGGCAATTACCAGCTCAAGTCTAAGTCTTATGACTTTTTGAAAGAACTTCCAGGAATATTTAGTAAACCCTTCGCCTGAAGAATCAGGGGGACAAGAAATATCACTGCTACCTGCCTTTTCCTTCACAGGTGTCGGGCATGTATTGTCTGGTGGCTCTCGAGCACGGGACCTTGTTTTTGCAGGAAGATTGGACTAACTTTTAATCTAGGTACCAGGCGTTTTGGGCATTCTCCAATCCAATTACAAGGTCTAATCGCCCCCTAGCATCTATCCTCCCAATGTTTGTTGAGCTAGGTCTTCCTAGTGACTTCAACACTCTCAATGGTGACGAAATTGACGAAGCATTAGTTCAGGCAGCGGGAAATTCTCATACCACAATAGTCAAATCCTTGCTTACAAGGAAACCTTATTCTCTGGAAATTTTTCTTGAGTCGCTTAAATCTGCTACCTCTTCTGGTGTTGAAAAGACAATGCTTGAAATTATAGATCACATCGTAGGAATCTCAGAAGGTTCCAGGATCACCTGGCCAGCAAGTCTCCTATACAGGGCCGCATTTCTGGGTCTCGCCCGATTTGCAAAGAGACTTCTGGAATTAGGGTGTCTACCTGAGCCTAGAGGCTCAATGCAAACGGAGCATGGTGTATCGCTACTATTCTTAGCAGCGCGTTGGGGTCATGTGTCGACAGTTCGTATTCTTCTAGAGAAAAATGCCGAAGCGCAGCTTATGGATACTGGTGGGCAATCCGTTCTATGCTGGACTACGGGAGTTTTACGCAACCCAGAAGTTGCTCAGGTATTGGTGGGAGAGTGCCAAACTGATGTGAACTTCACAGATGAGGAAGGCTTTACTGCACTCTACACAGCTTCTGGTATGGGAAACTACGTAAGTCCAATTCAATTTCTTCTTCCTTTTGCACGAATGCCATTAGAAAGTTGTGCTAATTGCGTGCTCTTTACATAAAGCTAGCTGTTGAGAGCCTATTGAAAATGGGCGCAGACCCAAATAAAGTTTTTGAGACATGGGCGTCTTTGCTAGCGGCAGCAAGTGAAGGCTACATTGATTCTATACGTGTACTGCTTGAAGGAGGTGCTTCTCCAGATATTCCAACTGCTGATAGCAATATGACTCCCTTGAGCTGTGCAGCAAATAAAGGTTATCTGGATATCTACCGTCTTCTTCTCTCGAAGGGTGCAGGCATAAATAGTCCACTGATTGTACCCCCCGTTCTCTGCGATATGTTGGAAAACTATATTGGAATTCATCACAACTCTACGCAATTGGATGTGATCAAGTTCCTTGTGGAGAATGGAGCGGACGTTAACGCAAAGGACTCCGATGGGATGACAGCATTATCCAACGCGGTGTATCTAGGCAACGAAACTGTGGTTCAATATCTTCTCGAGAATCGTGCCGATGCCAATATTCCCGACGATCTTGGTCGATCAACACTATACTTCGCTGCTGTCCGATCACAACACAGAGACAAAGCAGTTGCTTTTGCTTGTTCTCTATTAGCTCATGGTGCAAATATAAATCTCCAAACAACACAAGGCATGACGCCTCTAATGATGGCTGCCTGGAACAATCACACGGACTTTGCGGAATTTCTGTAGGAGCACCCCAAAACGAATGTAGATTCAGTGAACGAGGGAACATTGGAGATAGAGCAGGGGTGGACTGCTCTTTCCTATGCTGTTAGGGGAGGTTTCAGAGATATGATTCGGCTTCTAGCAGATGCTGGCGCCGATTTGAACCACCGTGACAGTGATGGCTTATACCCAATCCATGTCTTAGCTTGCCGTTCTGCCGATTGTCTCCGGACTTTGCTAGAATATCGCAGAAAGGTCGATATCGAGGCTAAGTCATCAAGTGGTATGACTGCGCTGCTACTGGCAGTATCCTCAAACCCTGTTGAGCTGGAAAATGTCAAAGTTCTTATCAACGCAGGCGCCAACTTGGACGCAACAAACGAGATGGGCCATATGGCATTATCATGGACCTATACCAGCAATTACGATAAGTTGGTATCATTAACGCTCCAGCAAGAAGACTTCGATATCAATCTATGTGCGCGAAGCTATGGCAATGCTCTCCACCAGGCCTGCAAAAACGGAAAAATTGATTTGGTCAAGATGTTAGTCGACCATGGTTCCGACATCAACCTTTTGCTCAGATGTAATTACGGCACCCCCCTTCAATGTGTCTGTTTAGCCAGTGATGATTCCAATTATGAAAATATCAAAGACATAATGCGCTATCTTATTGCGAACGGCGCCGATGTGAAGGCAGAAGGTGGTCTTTTCGGGAGTGTAATTGATTCAGCTGCGATGGTCGCATCATCAGACGCAATCCGCCTGCTCTTGGAGCATGGTGCTCCCCTCGACATCATGGATGACATGGGACGCTTGCCAATACACCATGCATCTATCAATTACTTGGATGTGTTCAAGATCTTGGTCAAGGCCGGTGGTGATATCAGCGTCCGTGACAAACTCCGTCGCACCACGCTACACTGTGCAGCCCAATATGGAAATGCCGAAGTAGTTGAACATCTTCTTGAAAGGATGGGGCCTGAAGCGGTCCATTATACGGATATTGATGGGTGGACACCTTTATGCTGGGTTGTCAGAGGATTGGATCGTTACTATGATTCGCACGAGGGATCAACAGACCGATTGAAGGTTGTCAGGCTTTTACTTGAGCATAACGCTGACGTATCTGCTCAAGGGACAATTGGAAAAGAAAGTTTTTCAGTTCTCAAAATTGCGAGGTATAGCAATGCAGACCCAAAGATATTTACTCTGCTGAGAAAGGGTATTGGCGAGGAAGGGGCGACAAAATACCCAAGAGGTGGTGCAGAGCCGCGCCGAGATAACTCCCATAGGAACATCAAACAGCCAGCTAAAAGGACACAGACTTGCGATTGTTGTCACGGGTGAGTTACACCTCCGTCCCTACCTAATACCCCCTCGATTAGTTATTTAGTTATTTCTATCACAATACTCTTTCGGTCAATACGAGGAATCGTATACCATTGCAAAACCTGCTATGATTTTGATTTCTGTTGAAAAATGTTATCATCATCGAGATATCATTCATCCGGCCGCGAAATATCCCAACCACGAGTTTGAGGAAATAGGACCGGGGTATGATCCCTCGCCTCCACAAAGCAGAAAGGGTTCCATCCTATCGTTATCATCCTCCTCCTTCTCCTCTGGGTGGGGTGGGGGTTCAGAGGAAGACGATGCCAACAAGGTGGCAGCCATCGATGAGGAGCGGGATAGTGAAGATGACTAAAATTGGTAGGAAAATCCAAGAAGATCGCTTATTTTCGCGATATCTACCAATCTTCGTGTTTGATTAAGTTAGCTATCCTATAAGATATGTCTAGAGTTTCAATTTTAAATCTTAGCGCATATTTATCGTTGCTCTTGACCACTTGTGCAAGTATTTCACTAGTTAGCTGAGAGCGCCCGCTTGTTTCACAGCACTGTGACAAGATACGAAAGTAGGAGATTACCGCTAGGCCCTCAAACGCTGACAGCAGAAACCCTCTATGAATATGCTAAATTTAAATGTAAGCGAGACAGAAACTGAACAGCGACTTTATCAGACCAAGAGAGTACCTAAACTCTAATAACTTAAAATACCGCGATAACATCCTACAGCAAATATCAGTAACAAATAACCGCCACAGCGTGCGCACAATAAGCGAACAGGATCAAAGTAATGGTGCCCGCCAGATTTTTCACTTGAATATAGATTGGATGATTGCTGCAGAGACATAGATAGAGCTTAGTGTGGTTTCCGAGAGGCGGTGGTCGGCTCGCTTGAATAGGGGCACCATTAATTTTCTCGCTTAGGATATCATATTGCTGGGGGGAGCAGCCCAGCATCCCGGTAAATAGGTTGGTAAAAAACAGAGAAGCTATATATTTTAATCATCTGAGAAATTGGTTGATTAGGAATACTCTGCTTCTCAACTAGAGTATTTATTTTTGGTATTCTTTTATGCTTAAACAAATGAGAAGCATTTCTTTCAGTAACTGTTATTACGAAGGTTGGGGCCGCTTGATGTGTAACAAGTGTAAATCCTATTCAAATTATCAAGTTAAATATCGCCTCAGGTCCAATTATGACTAATGTTCTCGAGATATGGGCTGGTGTATGGAAACTAGGACAGAAGTATAGGTATAGCCCTTCGTTATCACGTGACTAAACACGTGATAATATTGTAATAAATACCTTTCAACTTGATTAGTAGAAGCCGTTACTCTAGTCTAGTCTACTCGAATGGTTGACTAGCTCTTTCTCATGCTAGAGGAAAAAGGGTAACAAATTACAATAATGCTTTTTACAAATTTAAGTAAAAACTCGAGGGGCACAAAACTAACCATTTGAAGTTAGAAATGCCACCTTGATGTCAATAATCGTTCTAATCGTCTTTCCTGTACTAGATAAATGACGATTGATTATAGCATATCTGTTGATGGGGAAAAAATTAGTATTCTGATCAAGAACATGCGAGTTTCAAGGCTTCCAGTAAGATGAATATTTCATCTTTATGCTCGCTCAGTAATCGATCACACCTTCTAAATCGATCAGGAGAGATATCCTTTGTTCAATACCACATGTAAGGAAGTATTACTGCTTCATCCGTCACCCTGTCACTACGTGCGATGCTAACAAATCCGACAAATAGCAACAAAGTGGCATTTCGATTACTCACAAATTAACAAAATTGGGTTTAGATAGAGATCTTCAATTCAGTGGCACTTCTACGAACTTCCAATCACAAAAGAACCTAGACAATCAACTTCTTGTCCAGACCTCTTGGGTGGAAATCCAACATTCTATTGGCAACCGCCGCAACATCAGCATCACAATGCTTCCTCACCCACTCAGCAAACATGTCCATTCCCGCACACGCACCTCCCGCAGTCCAAATATTCCCATCAATAGCCCACTGCTCCTCAATCCAATGAATCTTTGGGAACAACTTCTTCGCACTCGGCAAAACAACCTGGTTGGTCGTAGCCTTCTTCCCATCCAGAACACCCGTAGTAGCAATAGCGAAAGCTCCAGTACAGGTACAGAACAATCCTTTTCCAGCGGCAACATGCTCCTTCACGAACTTCGCAAACTCCGGGTGCAATTGGAGGGCAGGATCGGGGCCACCGACGAGCAGGTAATCAAGAGGAGGGCATTCCTTAACTGTTGTTGTTGGGTTTGCGGAGAATCCTGCTGTTAGAGCAACAGGCTCCATGCTGAAGCCTATGTGAAGGAATTCAATGTCGATTCCTCGATCACCGATGTTGATGTAAGACTCTCGCTCTTTCCCTTCGGGCTCCATATCGTACTCAGTTTGGAGGAGCTCTTTCATGTTCGGGGAGCCAAGAAATTGCTTAGAGGCGTTGGAGAGGATGTCTAATGGCCCGGCGACATCCATAGTTTGATAGGGAATCATGAGGATACCGAATTTGAGGGGTGTCATGTTGAAGGTGGGGTGATTTCTGGTTCTTAGATGTGTTCTTGAAGTTTTGTGAGATGGTTGAAGTTGCTTGTGCTTTTTGCTGAGAGGATTGGGCTTCTTATACTAATATTTCTTTGCTTCCTGGCGGTGAAGTATGGTCCGGGTGGGTTATACGGGTGTTGTGAGGTTGGAAATCCGGATGTAGCTCTGTTTTGTATGACATACAAAGTCATGTGGATGTATGTGGATCGAACTTTTCTTACCCACCTACATCCGGGTCCAACTTACAACCTGGAAGTTGGTGGATATAGCTCTCGCATTTTCCCATAGTACTCCACAAGATGCGACATGCTCCTACGGGAAGGGGTCCGGTATTCGATGTGGTTTATAAACATTCGGGGGGAAATACGGTCCAACTTCGCAACAGCCAAAAGTATACACAATTAACCTTGTGTCATCGCACCAAGAGAAATCGACACAATCGTTTTTCTGCAATGTTTCCGATTCTACACAGGAAGAAACTTCGACAGTCAAAAGAAAAGCGAGAAAATCATCATACGATTCAGATCCTTCAAAATCATGAGATCCCACCAAGTTCCACAACACGCCCTCCCGTCCGCCCTTTTCCCCTCAATTTGCCCAATCCTCCCGGACCAATGATCCCCCGTACCCAGCCGAAAATTCCACAAAAGCAAGGTAAGAAAGCCTCGAAAAGCTGGCAGCAAAAAAGGGCGACGACTGCGGTATGCAACAAATCTGCAAGTTTGGACGAAAGAGGAAGGAGCATCCTTGAATGGCTGATAAGCACGTGAAGGGCGTTGGAAGTGGACTGATTCTTCAATGTAACATATTCTAGTGGGTGCGATAAATACGCGAAGTAAATGTCTAAAATATATAACTAGGTAAACTACCTAACGTAGTCCACAAGCGAGTTGGATTCCCAAGCGAAATGGATTTTTTTTCTTGGCATTTTATAAATTCTTAAATATCTCACGACACAATTAATTAAATTAATTACAGTATTCAGAATCGGAATCCTCACATATTTCTTCTCCTTTTTGACAAGTTCGTATGTTATGGCCATGTTTCCCACATAGTCCACAGCGCCGGCGAGGTACTAGACTCGGGCTCGTACAATTACTATTTTCTACTAAAACCACTTGTTCTTGCGAATCAACATTACTAAGGACCCCTAAATCTTGCGCATCTTGGAGAGTAAGTGATCCTCCTTCCTGTAATCGGCGCTTTTTCGTACGACGACGCCGACTAAGTTGATCATTTGCTGTACGAAGTGTAGCATTCTCAGCTCGTAATAAAGCTACCTCAGTGATTGCACGCTGTGCACCCTTTGCAAGCTGGTCTAGGCCATATAGAATCTGGGTCGGAGAACTATCTTGGTGTCGTACGACCTTGTTTTGTATATATGACGTCTGAGAATATAATATGCCTCTGTTATGTTAATTTGGGGTCTTTGGTTCCCAAATAGCTAGGAGGCTTGTTGAGGTAGATGGACGTGACGGAGTCCTTGGACGTATATCAAGCTGTGAAATCACAGAATCTGGGTCGTACGGCACTAAGCCAGATCCTCGAAATCCTCCTCGAATGTTTGATTCAGTCATTGTCGCACGAAAGGCAGTATAGAATTTTGATAAGGAATCCTCCTTAGAAACATATGGAGGCACTACACAAAGCCGTACGACCTAACACCTTGAATTACTGTTGCCCATTCCCGGTTTCCTTGCTGTACTGTACGAGGCCGAGAAAGCCTTTCGGTACTTGTAACAACCATTTCTGATGTAATTTGGCCCATACAAAACCCAGTCTCGTCAAAGTTATAAATATCCTCCTCCTGAATCCCATATTTGTCAATTATATTTCGTACGAGGCGAAACCACGCGTTATACGCGTCTGGATTTTCGCATTGGACTCTTTGATAATCAATCCTTCGATTAAAACGCGTCTTAAGTTCAGGTTGTCGTCGTACGAAGTTCGAAGTCCAGTTCTTGCCAACGCGTCCTGCACCCCGCTCCGACAGGATACGATTCGCCATATCTTCAACACAACGTACTCGTGGGGGAAATGATCGAGAATCTAGGTCGAGAATATGTCGCACGATAACTATTTCTTCAATCTCTGTAAGTTTTCGAGATTTAGCGATAGAATCTTGTCGTGATAATATTCCATGAGTTCGATTAAGCAATGTCGTATAAGGTACTTTATAGATCCGCGCAACCTTCTTAACTTTTAAATGTGGGTTCGTACGAAGCGTATTTAACGCAAGAATCATATCAGACTCTGTCCAATGCTTAACCATTTTGTTTGTTAAGAAAAAACGCGCTCTGAATAAGTTTGTGGAGTGCCAAGAAAAAAATCCATTTCGCTTGGGAATCCAACTCGCTTGTGGACTACGTTAATACTATTATATAATTAGTAGAGGTTTAGATTTAGATAAAGGTTATATACCTAGCTTTATTTTAGTATGAACAAAATATTACCTATAGTAGATTATAGGGTTTTATTTTATAGGAGATTCTTAAGATATAGATTAACTAGTATTATTATACTAGATATAACTTTAGTAGTAGTAGAGGTTCTAGTCTAACTAGAGGTAATACCTTAAAAGATAAAAATATATTAATATAAGAGTATTTTAAGGAAACTTATTATATCCTTATATTTATCTAAGTTATAAAGGTACTATAGATAAGAGTGGTAGCAACCTTTTTCGTAGATTGAAAATTTTGTTCTAAAACGCTCAATCTCTCTTACTCTCGTTTGACAAGCTAAAATTCCCTCCATGGAGACTCCTCCAGAGAAACCTCCGATTTCGCCCACGCCCAATGGAAGGGGCCTGAAAAAGGGGGGAGTACGCCCGATGCCCCCACTACCCAATATACAGCAGCACTTCGTTTCTGGAACCACCAAAGCTCTAGAACGTGGTGCTATAGGCCAAATCTT